GATCACTTAAAGGAGTACTAGCTTATTAACTGTATACCCTTGAATTGACTATTTAATTATCTCCATTTTACATAAATTTCATGCTCCCAAAGGCTCAGCAAAAATACTTTTTTTAATATATTGAAGGAAATGTGCGAACGTACAACATTTTCAAACTCTGTAACTAGAAAGGAGGGGACATTACAGAGATATATAAAATTATGCATAGTATGAAGAAAGTAGATACAGAAATGTATTTCTCTCTCATGATACTAGAACTCCAAGATAACTAATAAGGCTAAATGTTGGAAGATTCAGGACAGATAACAGCATCTTCAGGACTTCTCACAGCATATAGTTAAACTATGGAATTTGCTCCCACAATACGTAGTGATAGCCACCACCTTGGATGGCTTTGAAAGATTAGAAAAATTCACAGAGGATAAAGCTATCAATGGTTGCTGGCCATGATTGCTATGTTGTGCCTCCACTGTTGGAGGCAGTATTCTTCAGACTGCCAGTTGCTGGAAATCACAAGAAGGGACAGTGCTTTTGTACTTGTGTCAAGCTTATGGGTTTCCCAAAGGCATCTGGTTGGCAACTGTGTGAACAGGGAGGCTGGACTAGATGGGTCTCTGAGGTTCTTTATATTAAACAGAAGAAAATGCCATTTTAAAGTCTGTTTTCATACAATATCCCAAACTTTCAGGGGCCTACAACATTTCCCAGACTTTGGCCCAAGATGAAGTGACATAAAGACAGGATGTCGGGGGGGGGGGGGGAGAGACAGAAAGAGGCAAATTGAATATGTACAGCATTTTGTAAGAAACAAATTCACCTGGGCAGAGATCCAAGTCAGAATATATTGTTGCGCGCCACCCCAGTTTCTGAGTGGTGCAAGATTCCAGGGGTTCCAAGCACTTAACCAAGGTTCAGTTTCCATGGAATGAGGGATACCAGAGACTGTGGTGTCATGCTATATGGTTTATTTACGCATACAGTGGATGCTTGGGTTGTAAACGTGATCCATGCGGGATGCACGTTTGCAACCTGCAGCATTCACAACCTGCAGCGGTGTGTCTGCGCATGCACGGGTTGCGATTCGGCACTTCTGCACATGCGCAAAGTGCGATTTAGCGCTTCTGTGCATGTGTGACCACCGAAACCCAGAAGTAACCCATTCCGCTACTTCCAGGTTTCGGCAGTCCGTAACCCGAAAAAATGCAATCTGAAGCATCTGTAACCCGAGGTATATACAACCTGAGCCTACGTTGGAGGGGCTCACAGCATTAACACCCTAAGAGGGTCTTGATTCTCTTATAGCCACAGCCTTGGATTCGAATAGAAATCAAACATGTCTCTCCCTCTCAGGCTTCTGCCTGCAGCCTGCTTCTAACTTCTACTCCTCTCACACCCCTCAACTCTGGCTTTTGTCCTTCTAACTACTAGCCAGTTGGGGGAGGGGAGCCCACCCATTTTCCCTCTGGCACAGAGCTACTTCCTTCATTACCTTAATGACCTGTACCTAAGGGCCATTACCAAGAGGATTGCCTGGCTATCCCAACAATTGAATCCTTTTTGGATCCAGGATCCATGCCATTAGGCATGCAGCCTAACCCCCCACCCCCAAACTCACAACATAGAGGTGGGAATCAAAACCGCCTTCCCCCACTTCGAAATCACATCATGCCAAATTCCTCCTCCTTATGCCAGGAGGCCCCCAACATAGCTGGAACTCTGAAGCAGGAAGTGCTGGGACTTTGTTATTAGATGGAAGATGACTAGATAAAACACTGAACTCCTCTAAGAGGCTCATACAGCCACAGTTAATTACTTATTTTCCCCCACCCGACTCCACATTTCTCATGTCAGCAATTTTATGTGAAACTGCACCATGTTAGCAATTCTCATACAAAAAAACACTAGGGGTGTGCACAGGCCCCAGGCTTCACCTTTTACAAAAATCCTATATGTTTGTTCTTTGCTCTGTAGTTTGGGTTCTGAGCCATTGTGTCAAAATGAAACCCCGTGTTCCCTCTTCACTCTTTATGCGGTTCTAAAAACTTATAACGTTTTTCCCCATTTGGCAGAAATAGATGAAATTTGCCAACACAATAACTCCTCCAGAGAGGATTAAGCCTGCCAAATTGCAGACAAATAAGCTCAGAGACTTTTGTGAGGGGAATTAAAGTGATTTACTTTACTCCATGATCCATATTAGGTCAATGCTTTTATTAGGCCAAGTAAAACACCAAAATCAATGTTAGTTTCACATTTTTGAGGGGAGCAGGGTTTGTTTGTTGCACTTTCTTTTCCTAAAATAATGAAGGGTGGCTGAGTAGCTTGTATATTTAAATATATATATATATTTGCAGCTTCTTGCTGGCTGTCTTGACTTTCCACGTACTTTTTTTTAGTGTTGGGAGAGGATGCCATACTTAGTACTGCCTGGGGTGTGATTGTCTGCTAACAGTGATTAGGAGTTCTGGAGTATTTTTTTTCCTCACATGCAGAGCTGCCAATTACTATTTTTTAAGTTAAATTAAACTTTTAACTTAAAAAAAGCCACAAACTCCTCTGCTGCTCTGCTTTAACAAATGAAAAAAAAATCACCAGAGCTCTTCAGTGCATCAAAGCCTATTGACCTAGAGCACTGGTTTTTCACCTTTGGGAGGGGTTCACGAGCCCTTTCAAGAATCTGAATAAAGCTATGGACCCCCCTCCTTAGAAAAATGCAGATACAAAATATTGCATACATTTTATTTTATTACATGGGTTGCACCCAGTTTATGGGTGCCTAATCATGGATCCCCTAGGGTTAAAAACTCCTGAACCAGAGTAAAGGAACATAGGCACAGAAGAACACAGAGAGGCAGCGCAGAGAAAAGTGAGGAGTACAGAACAACAGCCGCATGAGGCTTTGTGTGGGCACATTGTTGACATTGTGCTTTGATTCGGAAAGGGGAAAAATAACTGTGGTTTGCCTTGTTGTCCAGTCCCAACACAGAGTGGTTGCACACACCGCCCCCCAGCAAACACTGGTATCCACCGTGTTTTGTGGAGGCTAAGGACATAGATGTAATTACTATCATGGACACTACCCAATAGATCACCCTTCACCAGGCCTTCCCTCACATTAAGTGCTGACATTTATTTATTTATTTATTTATTTATTTATTTATTTATGAAGGACGGCAATAAATAAGTCTGTTAGGTACTTCTGGAGATCTAACCAGGAATCCCATGGCAAGTAAGTCTACCAGGACCCACTGACAGGAGGGGACCCATCATAGGTCCCTTCACCCAAGACCCTTTCAGACCTTAAGCCCCACCCACAGAGAAACCAACTACTGTCTGAAATGTGCATCCTCTTGGTCGGAAATTGGCACATTTTACAGGTTTCGCGTGCACTGATACAAACAAAGGAACCTCTTCCATTTGGTCTAGCTTTTCCCCATCTCATTTTGGATGCAGGAGGCTGGGATTCCTCATACCAGACCTATGCAGACAGGTGACGCTCAAACTGTTCATTCAAAGTTTCTTTAGTGACATGTAGAAGGGACCAACCAGCATTTATGCAACTGGAAACGTGCAGGGATATAGAGAAGTTGTTGTGTTTAAAAAAGAATAAGAGAAAAGGGAGATACCGTAAATCACAGTCTGTGTGGGATTCCATGGAATGGAGCCATAAACATTTATTGGAACAAATACGCTCCTAATTACCCTTGTAGGATAGAGCAGTAGATCTTCCCGAAACACAGTTTTAAAAAATGTTTGGGATTCTACTCAGAATGTCTCAACAAATGAAACTGATTTGTAAAAAATGTTACTATAAAAAAAGAGAGAGAGAGATTGCACATACTTTTGTAAACCAAGAAAATCTTTAATAAAAATACATTTTTTAAAAAAGAAAAAAGAAAGTTTTGGAGAACAAGTTCCGAGTAAGAAAAAAGGGTTGGGCTGTTAAAGGGAAGTTCTACGTCTAGACAAAGCAGATGTGACGGGTGTGTTTTGCAGTGGCTCTTGAATGTGAGTTGTGGACCATGCAGCTTCTGGGTATAATCAACTGTGAGGCTGCTAGGAGGTCTCAGGTGACCTGCCAGGGCTGTTTTAAGGATTAAAGGAATGTACGTATGTTAGGTGAGCTAGCCTTAAATGGGGTTTAAACTTGGGTTTATTGTGGACCCCCTCTAGCTGGGACCTGGCCTGAAACAAGATATCCTTGCTCCATGTGTGATGTAAGTACAGCATCCCTGGGAGATAGCCATCCAGCCTCTACTTAAATACCTCCAGGGAAGGAGAACCCCCTTTAGCCATTTGTTAACAGCCCCTTACTATCAAGAACATTCCCCTAATGTTTAGCTTCAATCTGCTTCTCTGATGTTTAGGGTTAATGCTTTTAGTCATGGTGCATGCACCTATTATGAAGGCTAAACATTAATGCTAAGTTCTCCCATGTCAATTGTCCCTGCTTTGGGGGAATTTTCTTCCTGAGCTCCTGCTTTATCACTGAAGCAGGATTTCTTGTGCAGTCATATCCCAGGTGCCAGTTTTGGAAACAGAAACTCTTGTTTCTTTCTCTTATCCAGCTGGCTGGCAGAGGGGTGGTTGTGGACAGGAGTGCGCTGGAGAAAAGCAGAGCGATCCAAGCGCAATTGACTTTGGAGTGTGCATTCTTGCGGTGTAATTATCTCATCAGAAGTGGAGCTTGACTCAGTGAACAGAGAGACAAAGCATCTTTAAATGAAGCCAGGCTGGGTTCCAAAAACCTGTAGGGGGGCAAGAGAGGAGGGAGATGGTGGGAGGGTTTAAAAAATCATCATAATAAAACTTCCTGCAGTGGTCAGGAGGACGTGAGCCAGGGATTGGAGAAGCAATTGACGGGGTTTCCCTTCACGCAGACACGGAGTGCTTGAAGGCTGTCTCCTGTCACACTTCTTCAGAGGAAGGTGCAATAGGTCACAGCGTGGGACTAAAGGAGCTCAGATACACAGGAAAGCTTTCTGAGGCAGGACTGGAATATGAGGAACTGGGGAGCACTGGCATATCTCTTCTTCTTCCCTGTTTGGGCAGGGGTGAATCGAGTGGTTCTAGGACTTGGCCCCCATGTGAAGGGGAAGGATGCTCCTGCAAGGCACCTCCAGCACCAGCTGCAGCATGGCTCCTGCACCTACACTTTCCTGCTGCCAGAGCTTGGGGGCTGTGACTCGCCTGCTGCTGAATACCAGGTTTCCAACTCACTCCAGAGGGATGCTCCCTCCCTAGCCGAGGCCAAGTGGCCAGTAAAGAGGCTTCAGCAGCTGGAAAACATCATGGAAAATAACACCCAGTGGCTACAGAAGGTAAGACCAGGGGCTTGGATCTGCAAGGGACTGTCATGTCCTCCTAGGCTGTGCATATACCATACATTCAAAGCACATCCCACCACCCTAAGAATCCTGAGAACTGTAGTTTGTTGAGGGTGCTGGGAATTATAGCACTGTAAGGGTGTAAACTACATTTTCCAGGATCCTTTGTGTGTGCTTTAAATATATGGTGTATATATGGCCTTAGATAAGTGGTTCCCAACCTTTTTTTGGCCATGCTTCGCCTAAGTATCTCAAAAATCCTGATTCCCTCCACACACCCTGTGACATATACCGTATTTTTCACTCTATAAGATGCACCAGACCATAAGATGCACCTAGTTTTTGGAGGAGGAAAACAAGAAAAAAAATATTCTGAATCTCAGAAGCCAGAACAACAAGAGGGATCGCTATGCAGCAAAAGCAGTGATCCCTCTTGCTGTTCTGGCTTCTGGGATAGCTGCGCAGCCTGCACTCACTCCATAAGACGCACACACATTTCCCCTTACTTTTTAGGAGGGAAAAAGTGAGTCTTATAGAGCAAAAAATACGGGAATTCTTATTATTCAAAAAGTGAACTCCTGTTCACGTGGAGGAAGCCTAAAAGGCCATTAACTGTTAATAACTCATTATGGGGTTTCCGGATAGCCTCCCATCCAGGCACTGACTGGACACAGATCTACTTTGCTTCAGGAAGGTTGCAGCATCATACCTCCAGCCCTCTTGTGCAACAGAATCCAGGGAGATCTGTATAAGTCATCTGAAGATCCACAAAGCACACAGTCAGGTGGTGAGATCTCCTGTACAAACTCCATTAGCATTAATGAATGCTGCATAAGAGACTGGGCATAGCTGAGTGTGGTGTGAACATGCACCTAAAGTGTCACAATGTGACTAAAAGACTGTGTTGTGAATTGGAGAATCTCTTTGAATCTTGCTTTTGCCTTGAACTAGGAATAGGTGAATCCGTCAATTTCAGTTTACCTCGGTTTATCATTTTTTCACTCTTAAGTTCATTTCTCTACAGTTTATAATTATTATTTTTTTAAAGCTGCATGAATATTCACCAGTATTTTAGTATTTCTCCTAATATGCACATCTTTGTGTCCAATTTTGCCAAATATATACATTTTTTACAAAGCAACCTCCCCTAATATAACACATTTTTATGCATACTTTACTCTTCAACCATAGATCAGGATCCACAGGCAGGTCACAAAGCCACACCAGGTGGGTCACAGCAAAGCTGTTGATGCCCTGTTGGATTCTAGCTTAGGCTGACCAAAGAAGTACGTCTGGGCCAGAACACATTCTTCTGATCAGATGCTTTTTGTCAATTTCTACAAGTGCTGCAATGTGGCAATAGAAAGGCAGAATATCTATCATCTATCTATCTATCTATCTATCGCTATCTTTCTGGCCACCTACATTCTCATGCCTTTCTCCTGTCACACTGTGGGGCTAGTTTTCATTTAGTAGCAATGCTAAGGTAATATGTATATTGCTCTGTGATTTTCCATTTTAGGGTTAAACACAATGCATTATTAGCACAATTAAGTCTAAATCAAAAGTATAAATGTGAATGCTTCACCTACACAGCAACCTGCTGATCAAGATACTGGAGCATACTAGGAATCCCCCCCTCCAGTCAGTTGGCAACACTAATCTAAAACAGTAGCGGATGTGACTCAGGAATACGCAGTAAGATGACCACAGTGACTCCTCTGCTTGTAACCTCATCCAACATTTTAACAATTAATCAAGAGCAGGCAGTTTCCCCACAGTGAATGTGCATGTGCCTCTGTCATTTTCAAATTGCTTTATTGCTGCTCTTGTTCTTAAAATAACAGTACAACTGGCTTTTCAGCTATGCACATGCAGTGGTGGGGAAGAAGAATGACAGATGCGAAAAGGGGGGAGAGGGGGCAATGTACTTTAGGAATGCATTGCATATACTGCTCTTTTTCCAGCCTAGCATTTTGATATGCATGTGGATATTTTCATGACTCTGTAATTATATCATTTGAAATACACTCTCTTGAAAGTTCTCAGTACAGGCCCGGTAACTAGAAAGCGACCGTCCGGTGGCATTAATATCCTTAGATACCCTTGTGGGAGTTGCTCTCCCTGCCAGAATACTATTTCCCTTTGCTTCAGCTGTTTGAGGGCAGCAGGCGAAAGATGCTTTCTTCAGGATGAGACACAAGCTTAGGATGGAAGAGTGGTTACACATGAGTATTCCACATGGAGGTATCTATCAGCTACAGAGACCCGATTGCATGCATTGGGTTGACCATGAGGTCTACAACCATCATATTTCTTTAAGAAGGGGGCAGGTAAGTGTGAAACGATTGTTGTATGATTCTGTCAGGGCTGGCCCACTCATGTGGCAAGGTGAGGCGACTGCCTTGGGCAGCAGGATTCACAGGGGCAACAGATCCAGCCTCCAAGGAATGCATTGCCTGTTGCTGCAATGGTATAACCGACAGCTACGGTGTACTCCTTGGAGGCTGGATCTGTTGTGTCATCAGCAGCCCGCACCCCAATGCCACCTCTACAGCAGCCTCTTGGGGTATCCTAGGGATTGCTTGCACTTAGCGTGAGGTTGATTTGATTCCACCCTTGTTCCCAAAATAGATCTTTATCCCCCCCGCCATGTTCATTCACTCCATATTCCCTGGTGGGGGGAGCATTTTGTGGTTTGCCTCGGGTGCCAAAATGTCTTGAGCCAGCCCTGGATTTTGCTCTGGCGATACCCCATTGGCAAGCGAAAGCTAAGATAGTCTGTGGGACCATTAGCAAATCTGGGTCCAGACAGCTCCCTAACTGCGCCCCCTCCGCAACCTCTGGCGCCAAGCCTGCTCTCTAATTACAAGTTTTTGGTCGGGCAGTCTTGTTTCCAAAGGACTCTGCTTCCTGCCCTGTTTCATTTTGTGACACTCAGAACAATCTGTCCGCCCTATAATTCCTGCCCATTAGCCAGCACTGCAGTAACCAGGGATGCAGCCTTTAACTATAGAAATGAGAGAGCTTTGGGGGCCTTATTAGACAATGATCTTAAAAACATTTGAAGGTTCTCATTCTCTGGGGTTTATTGGAAAAGTCTTCCTCTTCATCAGGAAATCTTCTAGAATCAGTAGGAGGCTAGAGATAAAACAAATGTATTTGGGGGAGATATTCTGGAGCGAATCACGTACCTTGGCCGTGTATGTTTCTAAGTTGTGTAGGAGGAACTGCTTTCACTGGAGATTAATTTTGCTACCTGAAAAAAGGAGCATGTTGTCATTTTAACATTCATTTTGACAGGTTTGAATCATAGGTTGCCTTTCTGTATACTGCTCACCCCTTCTCAGTTCTGGCAATATTACTTTACATCTAACACAGCAGTGGCTTGACTCCAGCTCCCATCAGCCTCAGCCAGGACAGTCAGCGATGATGGGAGCTGTAGTCTAACAGCATCTGTTGGGTCACAGCTTCTCTTCTGTTAAGAGGTGGGATATGGATCAGCAATTCCTCAGCCAATCTAAAACCATACCTATGGAAGGCTCCTTACTTTCATTCCACCAGCACTGAACTGGGTCTGGAAGCTAATAGGAAAAAGTGCAGATGAGCCAAAATAGGAAGGCTGCAGTCCATTGGTCTGCAAAGAACTCTAAAAGGCTCTCCAAACTAAGGGTTTATCCACATATCTGTTCATCCTGTAAGTTATTCTGTTTGTCCCATGATTTCTGGTCATGGGTGCAAGAGGTTTTAGTTTTGTCCCTCTGTTTTCCCTGGGAAAAGCCCCTGTTTACTGCTGGACCAGAACAAATACCATTCCACGGAAAACCCATTGACATCTGTTACAATTCAGCAGTAGACAGCAGGTTTTCCTGGGGAAAGCAGTGGGGCAAAAAAACTCACTAAGATTTCTGGTCTTGTGCCTAGAAATCACATGACAAACTAAAGTGTGGATGAGCCCTAATGAGCAACAAAATGGCAAATTATGCTCAGTGTAGGTGTAAAATTTTAGAATATACGGCATACAATTCTAGTTGCCTCATCTCAAAAGGTGGTAAGGAAGTAGAAAATATAAGCTAAAAGATCAGGGAATTAAGAACATATTTTGTATGAGAGAAGGCTAATGTATTTGGGGTTTTTTAATTGCGGGGGAAGACAACTGAGAGGCAACACAATGGAGGTTGACTGAATTATGGAATAGGTTGTGTGAAGAAAGGGAAGAAGAAGAAGTTTGCAATAATAGGTCCAGTGGGGGAGGGCGAATGTGGTGGGATGATCATGTTTGTACATATGTTGGCCAAATCATCTGCATAAACAGAGAGGAAAGAAAAAAATATTATGCAAAGAGCTTCTGAGAACTGAAAGCCAAATATACATCTCATTGTTTGCAAGGAAACATCTTTTAGTTTTAAAAAAATCAGACAACCTTTGTTGAAAACAAGCCATGGGAAACTGTTTTCATGCTGATGATCTGAAACTGCTGTGCAATCATACACATGTGCTGCTTTTGTTTTGGCAGAGAGGTTTATAGGGTGGTCATGTTGCCGATTATCAGGAACATAGTTTCCAGGTGCCAAAATGTACTTGTAAATATTGGTTAATATTTTACACAATGATTTGAAGAGTGAAGATGTGACATTAATTCTGCACACTTTTCTTATGCAAATAGCAGTAAGTCTGAGTTGGTCCCAGGAATGTGGGGCAAATAAGAAGGGGGCGGGGTTGACTCCACACTTCCTTTAGTGCCACATTTATAAGCACAGGTACAGGCTGTCCAGGTCCAGGTCCAAGCGGTTGCTTTTTCGTCTCGTTGAAAACCCACATTTTACTGCTGAATTGGAGCAAACAGAAGTCAGGCTTTCCACAGGACACTTGCATGCCCTAAGTAATTGGTAGAAAAGTTGCTAGACGAAGCTTCAGGTAAATGAAGGAACAGGGGTGAAAATCAAGGACATCACAAATATAAGCTTAGAAAATTAAGCTCCGCATTTTCAGCTATAAACTAAGGTTGGTTAACCATTGGTTTAAGGGAAGAAAAAAGCAACCTAGAGGTTGGTCTGCTTCCATTTTTCGGAAGTCATGGTGCATGTGTGATGGAGTATTAAGTCCTCCTCCTAAGAACAAACTTTTATTATCTCTCCCTCCCCCCCATAAACAGCTGGAGAACTATATCCAGGATAGTGTGAGAATGGAAACATCTGACAACCACATCAGTGCTGTGCAGAATCACACAGCGGCCATGTTGGAAATTGGCACCAGCCTTCTGAACCAAACAGCTGAGCAGACTCGCAAGCTCACTGATGTAGAGATGCAGGTAAGCTGGGCTGCTATTTAGGGAAGGCAGAGCAGAGAACTCTGAACCCCCCTTTTCTCCACTTCAGATCACTTGTGATTATTTTTTCAGGAGCCCTTGTATTTCTTGCCAACGTGGATTCTACAGGCAAGCAGTTGTTACAGACAATTAAATGGGCCATGGAGGGTCCATTGGGGAAAATGGGGCACTGGCCCACCAAGCTCAGACTGCCTCCAGCCAGCCCCCCACCTCAACACCCCCTTACTAACAACCAGTACAAGAGGTGACACTGGCTGGCTTCTTCCTCCTCAGTGCTGCCTTTGTGAAATTCAGCAAGGTGGATGATGTGGACAAAACATGAATTAGTTGGCTCCACCTATAATTTGCTCTGGCTCCGCCTACTTTTTGCCTCTCTACTTCCCTCCCTCACTGTTGAGCTGCTTGTTTTTCCCTCTACTCTCACCAACCAGGTTTTCACCCAGACCTCGCGGCTAGAAATCCAAGTACTGGAAAACTCCCTTTCTACCAACAAGCTTGAGAAACAGCTGCTGCTGCAGACTCAGGAGATCAGCAAACTTCAAGAGAGGAACAGGTCAGAGCTGTGCTTGCTTCGTGCAGAACAAATCAAGGCAAAGTAATAGAATCCATGCATGTTTGTGTAATTTTACTCTGGTTGCAGAATTTTTGATGTCTAGCTGTCAGGCCTAGCCATGTCATGAGACACACTGAGCGACTTGCCTCAGGTGGCAGACTGGGATGGGCAGCAGCTTCTGCTGGACTGCCAGAATGAGCATACCCCTTTGCCACTCACTGCTTGCCACTCAAGCTCCCATGATCAGCAACCGCTTGGCAAGGTACTGTTGAAACCTTGCAAGACTTCTTAGCAGTGTCTGCAGTAAGTATCAGCTGATGACACTGTGAGGTGGAGTAGCAGGAGGGTCCTAGGTCGTCTCAGGTGAGAAAGAGCAGGCAAGTTAATATGGGAACAGGTGGTTCTTCAGCTATCTTGGTACCAAACCCCTGATTATGTATTTTGTATCTTTCATAGATTTCTAACTACCTTGGGTACACTTTCTAAGACAGAAAGGTGGGGTATGAGTGTTTTAAAGGAAACAATACTATTAACATTGCCTGTATGTGGAGGATTCCCATTATCCTTTCCCTTCCCTAGCTTCCTAGAGAAGAAGGTTCTGGCTATGGAGGGGAAACGTGAGGAAGAGCTTCAAGGCCTCAGGTCTGAGAAACAGGAAATGCACAGGTTGCTGTCCAAGCAGGTGGACCTCGTTGGGCATCTGGAACAGCGTCTGGGCGCTGCCCTGGTCAACAACACAGTCCTCCAGAGACAGCAGGCCTCCCTGGCAGAGACTGTGAAGCTCTTGATAGGCTTGGTGTCCCAGTGCAACCGTAAGTAACTGTTTTTCCTGAAGTGATTTTTTTTTCCCCAGGGCAATCCTGCTCTACTTATTCAGTGCACTTTGGGGCTCGTGTCAAGGGCTGCCAACTGCCCAGGCCCACATCCCAGTAGGGAGCCTGTTGATGTGAGCTCCTGAGACCTGGTGCAGTGAGGAGGCAGACTACTTGAGGGTGGGTGTGTTGCCCAAGGGCACAGCTGAATGCTTCTGTCTGCACTCCTAAGATCCCTGGGAATCATCCACTGCAGACAAACATCTACAAGGAGATGGCTTCCTATCTGGTTGGCCACTGTGAGAGCAGTATACTGAATGAAATGGGCCTTTGGCCTTATCCAGCAGGGTTTTTCTTATGTTTTTAACTTTCTGAGTCTATGCCTACAAAAATGAATGCATGGACATTGCACAGATTGAAGACGGCTATACTGAAAGCACCTCTTTGTCTGACTCTTGCAGACATTTCTCACGTCCACCCAGAAGAGCAGAAGACATTCAAGGACTGTGCAGCTGCATACAAATCAGGGTTCACCGCCAGTGGCATCTACACACTGCAGTTCCCCAACACTACGGCCACCGCAAAAGTGAGTGCAGGCATCAGGGCCTAGACACATTAAGAACGGGGGCCCTGTGGCCCATCGGATGTTGCCAGACTCTCAACTCCCATCATCATCACCAACAGTCAGGGATGATGGAAGTTGTAGTCCAGCAACATCTAGAGGAACATCTAGGAAGTGGGTGGTGGATTGTGTTAAGGGATGCTCTGTTACTCCTTTGCACCTATAGATGGACAGTTCCAGGCAAAGATGCAGAGTCCCTCTTAGGAATAATTGTGTGACACCCCTCTGAATTCCCTAGAATGTAGAAATCCTCCCTCCCTCCTGAAGCTCACTTTCCCACAGCACTTTTCTCCACATATCCTCCCTCTTAAAAAACAACAACACAACAACAACCAACTCCGAGGGCTCTGAAACTGGAAGTGAACCTGCACCTGAGAAACTCACAATCTGTGGGTTCTTTGTCCAGCTCTGAATATGAGGTGTTAATGGATGGTGCAGAATTGGAAGAGTTGTTGTCCCTTAGGGCACAGCTGAGGAACCTCAGGCCCAGCTGCAGCTTCTGGACATTTGTGAAGTTTCCCTTCCATTAATGTACTGCACTCCTTGCAGGTCCTCTGCGACATGGAGACCAGTGGAGGTGGCTGGACTGTAATCCAGCACAGGACGGATGGTTCTGTCGACTTTCAGCGCACCTGGAAGGAGTATAAACAGGTAAGGAAGAAGGTGGGCAGAGTACCGTAGTTTATCTCTTTTAAGGACCAGAGATATACTTGAATTTTTTTTAAAAAAAAGAGTTTTAAATCTAGCAGAGGCAGGTTCACTTAATTGCTTATGCCTGTGGCAGCTGCTGATACAATCCTGTGCTCTTCCTTATGTCCATGACAAAACCTATTCCAGCACCTATTGCACAGAGAACGAGTCAGACTCCGATGCAGTGAAACCACCTGCACAACTTCTGCAACTACTTTTTTATGTCAGCTCCAATTGTGCAACTAATTTGTATACCAGATCTGTCTTTTCCCCTTTGAAGTGTCTCCTCCAATTTACCACACTTATGGCAGCCATCAACATTTCTCATTGTCTTTCAAGTCCTGTCCACTGCTAGCCAGCCAGGGGTGTGTGGGTGTGTGTGTCTGTGTGGGTGTGTGGGTGTGTTCCAGCATAGTGGGGTAAGTGGTCATAAATCTCAGTGGGACTTGCCTAGGACAGCTTTGTAAATAAATTGGTGTTCAAATGGGCCTTCTTCCATTTCTCTTTGAAACTGTTTGAAGTGTGACTCTACTACTCCCAGTGAGTGTGCAGCAGCATAGTAAGCCGATCAAGTGCCTGGGGCAGTATACGTCCAGGGGTGGGGTGAGCCGAGGCAGGATGTTCCGCGGGGCCTCCGAGGAGTCTGCCTGCCTCCTCCCACTCGGCTGCCCTACAGCCAGCGTGCATAAGCCACTGCGTCTCTCCCAGGAAAGACACATGGTTCGGGTGCACTGCAGGCCCTGCAGTGGGTGCCGCCCGGCATTTTGTCACCCCCCTCAATGGTGACACGCGGGGCGGCCCGCCCCCCACTGCACCCCCCTTCCTCTGCCCCTGGATGGGTAGTTCAGACAACTGTATACATGTAAAGGATCTCTCATATGAAAATGTTGGGGCCAGCAGGCAGGGATCGGTAGAGGGGGCTGAAAGCAGAGTTATTTGGATGATGATGAGTAAAATGAAAGTAATATTAAAAATAGGCTAGCCAACACAAAATGACAAATGAAGGTAATAGACAGGACAAAAGGGTAAGAAAAACCCTTTAATGGATAGAAAACCACATTGCCATCCTCAAAATTTGTAAAAAAAAAAAAAATTCAAAATGGAACAAACAACCCACCCACCCACCCACCAACTCCAGGTCTAAACTATTAAAGTCTAAACTATTAAAATACCAAAAGAATGAGTGGGCCTTTCAAGTTGAGGCAAGTTGTGAAGGAGAAAATAAATTACAGCAAGGTGTAATTGCATAAGGTGAACCGAAGAAAAACCTTTGTTTGTTGAGAATACTGGTGCAGCAAGACCCTGGTGGGGTACTTACCTTAAGTTTTACAATTAGTTCTTGGGGGGGGGGATTGAAGTGATTTGCAGAAATGTCACCTAAACATTATTCCACCTAAACATTAGGAAGAACTTCCTGACATTAGACATTAGGAAGAACTTCCTGACAGTAAGAGCTGTTCGACAGTGGAATTTGCTGCCAAGGAGTGTGGTGGAGTCTCCTTCTTTGGAGGTCTTTAAGCAGAGGCTTGACAACCATATGTCAGGAGTGCTCTGATGGTGTTTCCTGCTTGGCAGGGGGTTGGACTCAATGGCCCTTGTGGTCTCTTCCAACTCTATGATTCTATGATTCTATGATTCATTTACTAGCAAGGGTCATTTGCGAGTAGAATGAGAAATGAGCCGATTTTGCACTAGGAAATTCTGAAAGTGAGTGAAATAAAACTTTCCTGCAAGTTCAAACCCTAGTAAGGAGTAGGCTAGTTTCTCACAGAAAATGAGAAGAATAGAACCTGTACGTTTTGCTTCATATCTCAGGTTCTACAAATGCTAGAAACTATTTAAAAAGAAGCAGAGGCAGATTGCAAGTGGTGGCTTCTATCATTAGTAACTACCAAATGGAAACTTCTTGTTTGTTTTGGAGGAACATTTGGTCCTCTGAATCCCTACCTGCAATTTGAAGTGGTACAGTCCTGACACAGGTTCACCACCTTAGTAGAAGCCAACCAGGTTGATTACCAGCTGGGATTCCCGCCCCTCCCCGCAATCTCTGCCATACCAGACCAGGCGGGCTCTGTAGCCTCGGTTGAGCCTTTATGTGGTTCATTTGTGAACTGCTTTCCCTTTCCTCTAAGCAATTTCAAAGTAAAAGCATGAATAAAAACAGTTAGAAACATTGTCTAAGAGGTGAGACAGTCTTCTGTAACTTCTGTGATGTGCTGTATCAGGACTCTATTAATCTGACATTTCTGTGTTTTTCTTGCAGGGCTTTGGGTCCCCACCTGGAGAGCATTGGCTGGGCAATGATTTCATCCACTTACTCACCACACAAACTTCCTACTACCTTCATGTCAAACTCCAGGACTGGGAAAACAATGAGGCCTATGCCTTGTATGACCACTTCCATGTAGGGCCTGAGGAGCATAACTACCGGTGAGGAGCTTATTTCCTTGTGGTGCTAAAATAAGCACCTTATTCAGGCAGGGAACAGGCTCCATGGCTGCTGACTGGCCCTAGTCCATGAAGGTCAGTTGAAATTTCAGGCCTAGCACCACCACTAGTCCTACTCAGGAAGTGCTCTGGAAAGGTCCAGCCCTGAATCCTACCAAACTTGCTGGACTCCAATTTAAAAATAAAACACAATTTTAAAAACCTCTTGGTGTTATTTCTTGGCGCTAGAACACCAGATTTTGTGTTTCAGCCCTCCAACCAAATAATGTATATACAAATGTGCATATTAGGGGCAAGTGTATTTTATTCAAAACTGTATTTTTAAAAAGTTTATATTAGGTGAAATTTGCACTTAAGATGCTGGTGAATTTTCATGTGGACTAAAATACTAATAATCGCAAACTGTTAAGGAACTGTAGAGAACTGAATTAAGATTGAGGGAAATGAGAAACTGAAACTGTCCCGATTCGTCCATCCCTAGTCACATCTAGTTGGGCCCTAAAACCACAGTGTAGGACTAAGAAAGAGGTTGGCATAAGGGTTTGGGCACACCTTACTAAATGGTCTGCTCTGGACCGAAAGCATTCAGCTCTGTTAACACTGATTTAGAACTACAGAGAGCTGCTGGTAGCTATGCAAGTGCATGACCTCAGGTAGGAAAGAGATCTTCCTGGATTGCAGGAAAACAGGGATATACATAGTACAGAGATAAACAAAACGAGCAAACCGCTTGCTTATGAGACTGATGGCACAGCCCTACCACATTCAGACTTTTTGAAATAAACATTTCACCTAAGGCCAAGCAAGTATACCTTGTTTCATATTTCAGAGGAGAGGCAACCAACAGAGCATTGTAGCTGACAATGGTACGTTCCCCCTTTTGCCCCTGCAGGCTTTATGTCGGGAGATACAGTGGCACAGCTGGTCGCACGAGCAGCCTTAGTCCCTCAGGGACAGACTTCAGCACCAAGGACGTCGACAACGACCACTGTGCATGCAGGTGTGCACAGATGGCAGGTGGAGGTAATGAGCAGAAGGGGAGGGGAAGTGTGTGCCACACAACTCCTATATTGTGTTGCAAATTCATATGCCTCAGAGCACGGGTGACCAATCTGCTTGGGAAGAGTGACTTGGGGGGGTTGCTTTAGGGTTTATGGGCAGAGTACCCCAACGTTCCCTGTTCTTTCTCTTTTTCCTCCTCCCTCTGTCTCCAGGCTGGTGGTTTGACGCTTGTGGACCCTCGAACTTAAATGGCATTTATTACCCGCCCAGCCCTGCCATGAACAGGTACAATGGCATGAAGTGGCACTACTGGAAAGGCCCCAGCCACAGTCTGAAGGTGACCACCATGATGATCCGCCCTGTGGATTTCACAGAGGAATAAGAGGAGATCGCCATGTGGCTGAGATGGACAGGCTCCAGCAAGATCAACTGAAATTCAAATGCAGCGTTGTGTCTCTCTCCAAACTTGTGCAATCTCTAAGGGGGAACTATGGGTGGGTGTACTTTCTGGGAGTCAAAGAACATCACTGTACTTCATACTGGCAGCCACAGGGGGCACTAACCACAGAAGAAGCACCAGGTATATCCCAGATGCATCCTTGCCTGTCCTGTGTATATAAGGAACTCCTTTAAAGTCCAGAATCCTGAGGCTGAAAATGGCTTGACTTTTAACAGGAGGCCTGGGGAGGGTGTGTGTGTGAGAGAGAGCATTTATGGCTTGAAAACATTCAGGTGCTACAGGAAGAGCTGAGCTAGACTTTCTGGAGTCAGGCAGGAACTTCTTCTGCACTCTCTGTGGCTCCTGGTTTACACCTCCGTGAGCAGGGTAAATTTGGAAAATATGTCCATGTGTACTTAATTCAGTTTGGAGGACAATGCACTCACTGTTTTGTGTGCCTTTAACGGTAGGTTTGAACCTTTCTTACAAACTTGCCCCATGTATGGCTGGCAGATTTCTCAACCATCCCTTAGTGTTCTATGCAAAATGTTATTGACTCTCGCTGGCAGATGAAGGCAGAAGTTGAAGCGTTTAGTTTTTTCTTATTCCACACTTAACTCTGTTGTGAATTGTGTGCTGATGTGTGAGTATACACACGTATGTAATCTAACAAACAACTAAACAATGCTAGATTCAAGTGGATTCTGCAGCCTAAGAACATAAGAAGGGCTTTGCTGCGTGAGACTGAAGGTCCATCTAGTCCACCAGCCTGTTTCATACAGTGGCCACCTTGGAAACCTGGCAGGCAGGGCATGAAGGCAGACGCCCCCTCCTTTTGTTGTATTCCAGCATGTGATCCTCTTGGCTATACTGCCTCTGGAGTCATATAGCTATGCTCTTTAGTCATTGATAGCCTTCTCCCTTATGAATCTGTCTCGTCTCCTTTGCCATGAATTTAATTCTGTGTTATGTGAAGAAGTTTGGGGGGGTTTTTTTGCCTCCCCACAATCTAGTCTTGCCACATTTCCCTCATGATTCTGATTCTGTCTCATCTCAGAAGCTAAGCAGGCCCAGACAGTACCCAGATGGGTAGGATCACTTGAGAGTCCTGAGTAATCTGGAATCTGCTGCCACTGCTGATTGGTTTCACTGAATAACTACAACTTCTAATATGGGGCAGTGAGCCTTTGGGCCTCTAGCTATTGTTGAACTACAACTCCCATCACCCCTGGCCACTGGTCAGGCTTGCTAGGGCTTATGGGAGTTGTAGTTCAGCAATATCTGGCTGGTCAAAGTTTTCCTACTCCAGTACTATGGCAGGGGCATAGCTGTCAAGTGTCCCTTATTTGAAGGGACAGTCCCTTATTCCAGCGCCATGTCCCGTTGCTGTCCCTTATTGATGGATGTCCCTTAAATGTCCCTTAAATGATGTCCCTTAAATTTCAAAGGAAGCAGCTCCTCTCCCTCCCGCCCTGCCGGCCAGGGAGGAGGGAGGCTCCAGCTGTGTTGCTTGGCTGTGTTGCTCACCCAATAAGAAGTCTAAGAACGACTAAGAACGACTGGGGGGGTGGAGCTTGCATGCCTTGTGTGTGGCTAGTTAATGCAAGCTGAGGGGTTTTTTGAATGCTGGACGCCATTTTGTTGCACATGCTGCTGCAAACTTTGCAGTGCAAAGCCAGGCCGGGGAGCCATCTTAAGTTGAGGCTGCATAGGCCTTGTAATGCATGTGATTCAGATTCTATTCAGTTGAACCTCTGGTTACAAAGTTGGTTGGACAGTGTTTTTGAAGCTACCAGCATGAGTTTGACCAGACTGCAGGAGGACAGGAAGACTGGAGTGCCTGGAACAGGTGAGGCTGCAGGTCTCTTATTTTGCCTGCTGGTCCCTTATTTTCAAGGCTGCTGGTCCCTTATTTTCAAATCTGTAAGTTGACAGCTATGGGCAGGGGAGATATTTTCTCTGTTCACTTTCTTCAAAGCATGCCTAATCTTATAAATATTATGTCCTCCTTTAGAACTTCCCTACCAACAACAACTAAAAGCCCCAAATTCTGCAAATTTTCCTTTTGGGGAAAGAGCCTCCGTTTAGATCACGATAGCTGTCCTTTTCTGCACCAGTTCTCCTCTACAAAGGGGTGATCAGAATTGTGGCCAAACTACCTTACATCAAACCATTGTGATACTCAGCATTTGATTTTTCCTTCAACTGCAAACATAAAATTAAAATGTAAATATGTGCCTGAGAACCATCATCTGCAATTCAGATGAAATAAGATATTGGTGCTAAGGTTTCACCATCAAATGCTGAATAGCTTGCGGCAATAATTCTTGATTGAGATACCTACACCCGTTCAGACTTGTTGAAGGATAATACATATTCTTTTGTAAACTGCTTATGAGTTTTCTGTTGAGTAAGTGGTATATAATTTTTGTTAAATGAAATAGGAAAAAAATTATAACTTCTACCCCTCAAAAATTATCTTGGCACTTCTGTAGCAGAGGAAATACTGCTTAGAAATCTCTGCACCCTCCACATTCCCAAAACTACCACCTTTCCCAAGGTCTGGTATGAATTAAAAGAACAAGTCATTGTTAAAGGCAGAAGCTGGTATGTCACACTAAATCAGGGGTGGATAATCCCTAGTTTTGAGGACCTGATCGGAACCCAAGCAAATTTTGCTGCCTTGTCCTCCAGACCCAACCAATTTAGCTCACTGATGCAAAACAAATAATGGTTTGAAGTAGACACAGTAGTATTGGGGTGGGGAGAGCCCAGGGTCCCGATAGGGATGCAAATCACCTTCTTTTGAGTCAAAGTATTAAGATGGGGAGAAAACCAGAACCTGAACATACTGCCGTCACCTCGTTGGACATGTCACTTTGACAGCCTAGCAGTCCCACCAGCTGCCACTGCCAAAGGCCTATCTGATCCATCCAGGATGGTGCTAAGGATAAGAACAGACCAGTGAGAAAAATCACTATACTTCTACTGTACAGTGATTCCAGCCCCAAAGATTTCCATTTGTCCAAAGACTCATTATCACCTTGCTGTACAAAGGCCGTTTGGGAAGCAACCACATGTCTGGAATCAAGTTTCAGCTCTATTCAAACTTCAGTGTATTGTAGAAGTTTGTTCCTATCTTAATTTCAATGCTTAAAAAAAAAGAGATTTATTAGAGCCAGTAAAGAGGGTGGAGGAATATAATGGAGGCCAATAAAAATGCTATCAGGTTAGAGATTTGGAGGTTCCTTTAATCTTCATCTGGCGACTAGCAGGTTTGGAGAAAGTATATACAGTATACAGTGATGGGGTTTGATTTTTTTGTGGTGGGGGAAATTGAGTTTGCAGTGTGACGATATGGTGTTCGACTGGTCTTAGACTGTATACTCTAGCTTAAAAGAAATATCTGCTAGCTAATCAGTATTTGATCACTAACCTGTTTTTATCTGCAGGTAGATATATTTTGGGTTGCATTTGCCTAGCTTCTACTCCTCTGAGTAGACCTGTTGAAATTAGTGGGCATAAGTTAGTCATGCCCATTATTTTCAATGGATCTATTCTGAGTAGAACTTAGTTGGATACACCCTCTCGTTTGGTTCCGTGGCTTCTTTATGACTGTTGTCATGATTAATTTGGTACGCTGCCTTAATGTCAAATAGAGGGCAGATTTAAATAAATAAATAAAGTAGAATAAAATCAAGGTGGTTGTCTTTTCTTTGAAAGTCTATGTGAAGGTGTCTTTTCTGAGGCTCTACGTGCAGGGAAGTGTAAGAATTGTGATGCTGAACCAGAGCAAAGTTCCATCTAGGGCTATAGCCCATCTTTGAGAGAAGCCAGCCAGAGGTCCCTGAGAAGATTACAAGCACAGCGTGATTGTGATGGAATCTCCTATTGTTTGTTCCCAACATCTGGTACTCATATGTACACTGCCTCCCAATATCCCTCGCTATCTTGGCTAAAAAGTTATCCATTCCTTCTTTAAAAAGCCACTTAATAGGCACCACAGACTCCTGTGGCAATTAATTGCATAGAACAGGGGGGGGGGGTATCTGCGGCCCTCTCAATGCTGTCGGACTCCAACTCCCATCAGCCCCAGCCAGCAAGGTCACTTGGGTCAAGGATGGTGGGAGTTGTTGTCCAGCCACATCTGGAACAGGTTCCCCAGCCTCCATAGAGTAATTGTGCACCATGTAGTTATCTTTCCTTAACCTAGCGTGCTTCTGGACCAGCCTTCCTCAACCTTGAATCCCCAGATGTTGTTGGACTGCAACACCCATCATCCCTGACCCCTTGCCCTGCTAGCTAGAGATGATGGAATTTGCAGTCCAACAACATCTGGGGACCCCATGGTTGAGAAACGCTGTTCTAGACTGTCACTATTTTGGGATGGGATTCAGTCCGGTTGTGCAATTATAGGCGATTGGGAGGCCTTGCACAACAAGCCCACTCCTCTTAAATATAAGGATTTCTGCAGCAAGGAAAGTCATAGAAAAATGCACTGGAAAGTGTGGAATCTAACCTCCACGGAAACAAACCAGGATACTGTAAGTGCTTTGGAATGGGTCATCTGAAAACTTCCCTAGTGTCTAGCATAAAATCACCATGATTCCATTCCACATCTGGTTTTGATTGAAAAACACTGTTATTGTATTATTATTAATAGGAACATTATAGTAGTTGTTACAGAATCTAGCTTTAAAAAAACAACAGTCCATCGCCAGTTTCTAGTTTATCTGATCATGGAAATAAATTGGAAAAGGCAAAATATTAAGATTTTGTGGTATGTCTGAGAGAGTATAGCGGGCCCAAGACATTTTACTGCCTAATACAGAACAGAAGCTGGAACCCCAAGCTCACCCAAGCTAAGGTGCCTAGCACCACAACTAGCCATGTTATTTTGGCACTCGAGGCAGGAAATCCCACAAGCACCTCTTCATTGGAGTCAAAATAAAACAATAATATATTGAAAAACTATTAGCTGCCCTTTATGACACCCAAAATCTGCTGCTTGAGGTGGCTGCCTCACTAATGTGCGTATTGCTGGAGCTAGGCATGCCTCTTGATCTCCATGACTGAAAATAATATGCATACAAGTGTCAACTCTTCCTTTGAAAAAAATGTTCTATGTGACCATTTCACCTGAAAAAGAATCTTGTGTAACACAGAAACTTGCATTCTGTGGCCTCATTTCTGTTATATATGTAAAATATATATTTTTTGTGGAAAAAATACTAATAAGAGCCTGGATATGACCATCAGTTGATCCTATGAAATGAATGATTTCCTCACCCCAGGCGTTGATTTGCAAATGGATCATTGAGATCAGGTTTCTTGTTTTGTTTTTTAAACTCAGGGCCCCTCCACACTTGTGGTTTATTGTGGAACATGTCCTGCACATTAACAGCGCATTAGTGGTGCCTTTATTTTGCTCCAGTTTGGTGATGCTTTCCTCAAACAGCCATTGTTGCTGCCTGGAGATGTTATTGCTGAGCAGAAATTAACCTAAACATTTGTCCTATAAAAACTTACAGGACTTCACCAGGAAGTTATTGGACATGCACTGATTGGAAACGAAGCAGCGGGGCCACCCCTTTGCCTGCCCAAATAGTATTGAAAGTGGAATCACATGTGACACAACCTGATAGCATCACAAGCCGAAACCGTCACACATGTGCAATGAAAACGACGTCTGGAGGGGCCCTCATTGGATTTCGGCAAACCAGATTTTTAAAAATTGCGGGGGGAAGTACACGGGCGGCATTTTAATGCCAACGATGTCGTGGGACCATCCCACACACATACACACCCCACAACCTTGCAGGCAAGAAGAGCACCGATCCGCTTGGAAGCAGTCCGGGCGATTCCCGGAGAAAGCTGGCCAGGTGCTCGCGCGTTCCCAAGAGCCAGTGCATGAGAAACGCGCGCCCTCCGATGGACAGCCGACGGCGACAGGCTGGAGCAGCAGCCCGCGGCACGGAGGGAGGCTGCAAAAGGAGGGAACGGAGAAGTTTTCCCGTTGCAGCTTGCACCGCTTGGGAACAAGTTCTGCAGCCTCCTGAACTACACACCCGGACCCACCCGGGCCTAGAAAGACGCTTCCCCCAGTTCCGCTTGGTCTTTCAGAGAAACGGGAAGGCGAGGCCCGGATCCAGTGGCGCCCTTCCAAAAGACCGGAGGGGGGCACAGCCAGGGCAGGATAGGAGCAGCCTGCATCCCACCCTCGGGTTGCGTAGGCTGAAGGAAGCCGCCTGAGCCTGATAAGCGTTTTGCAATCTGCCTGCTGAGAAAAACGGCGCGGGCGGAGGATCTGTCCCCAGATACGTCTGCACGCCTAGATTTCGGCTTCCAGGGAGAAAGGGGGCGGAGAGGGCTAGGCGGCGTAGCGGGTGCTTTTACCAGCGCGATCTTGTCCGCCTTTACTTGGAAGAGGGTCCTCCTCGGATTAAGCGAGGTTTACAGGTAAGCGAGTGGGCCAAGGGCTTTTTAAGATACCCCCCAACCCAATAATTATTGCTTTAATCCTTAACGAGTGTAATGAAATACCGGTATATCTTACATCCTTTTCTTTTTGACATATAATAATGCGGTGATAGTTCGCCACAAGGGGCTTGTACTGTACAGGGAGTTGTTTTGAGCAAAAACAGCCTGTGCATTAGAGGCGACGCTCAGAGCAAACTTGTGTTGAGCTGCCACTAGATCTAGGACCAGGGACACAGGGCGATTTGAAGTTTCCTTAGTCAAGATTTGTCTACTCCTTTTCCGCTGTAGAGTTTGAATGATTCCACTGGAAGTTGCCTTTGTGCAAAAAGAACAACTCCTTGAACTGTCATGTGATAGGACCATCAAAGATTTAAAAAAAATTGGAAATGAGGTTTTTCAAATTTTGGCTTTATGCTACCAAAATTTCTCAGTTGCTGCATTACCACTGAGTAACCTGTGCTTGCCAATGAAGAAATTTCTGTGCTGCTGCCATTTGGTAGTACTGTATATATTTTTGCAAGACAGGTTTTTCAGCACTGACTCGTATGAAAATGAAATGATCTGAGACAACCATCAAACTCTGTGTTGATGTACCTGTTGGCAAAATGCAAACTCCACCGTCCCACTGGTTCTTGCATAAATGAACTTCATTGTGAATGAAACTATTAAAATAGTTTATTACATCTAACACTGATTAGTGTAACCATATGTTTTTAGAAATACAATCAGATGGTTGGTGTTCTTACAGTCCCATGAACAAAATTGTGTAAATTTGTTAACTACTATAAATATCTCAACAAATTCCACATGAATTTAAGTGAATTTTTGCATGGATGTCTCAAGTAACAATTATAATATAGGCAAATTTGCAGTTAAAATGCATAAAACCGATGGCTGCTGAAGACCTTTGGTCATGTGACAATAAACCAATAGGTCACTATACCAAAAAAAGATTGGGAACCACTGGCATATAAGATTGGGCAGAGTAGGGTTACTGCTCTCCAGAGAACTTTTTTTACTGCTTTTTCTGGGGTAAATGTACCATTTTTAGAAATGTCTTGGTTTCAGAGAATGTAATCCGTAAAATATGAGCACAGAGCAAGTCACATTGTGTAACTGGAATGACTTCAATGCTGATGACATCTAAAATCAAGATGGTGTGTGGGCACACTCATCTGAGAAGTTTTTTAATTAATGAGTTAATACATTTACAGTGGTACCTCGCAAGACGAATGCCTCGCAAGACGAAAAACTCGCAAGACGAAAGAGTTTTCCGTTTTTTGAGTCGTTCCGCAAGACAAATTTCCCTATGGGCTTGCTTCGCAAGACGAAACGTCTTGCGAGTTTGTTGCCTTTTTCTCAAAGCCGCTAAGCCGTTAATAGCCGCTAAGCCGCTAATAGCCGCTAAGCCGCTAATAGCCGTGCTTCGCAAGATGAAAAAACCGCAAGACGAAGAGACTCGCGGAACGGATTAATTTCGTCTTGCGAGGCACCACTGTATTGGCACACATCAGGGGTGCTCCAACATGCTCCAACATGGAGGGGTGCTCCATGGATGCTTTCAGAGCCACACCCAGAGCACAAGGAATGTTCTCTCCCCTGTTGCAGATTGGGGGGATGTGTCCAAGGTGAGTACCTTGTACCTGGATTCTGCCAGTCTGAGACAGAGGCAAGGGAGCACAGCAGGGATGGGGAACGTGATTTGCCCCACCAAACTCAAGTCTTCCCTTAGCTGTCAGTTTCCTCGTCCTTAGTTTCAGTTTTGCCCTTGCAGAATTCAGCAGGGAGAAGGATGGAGACAAAACAAGACTTAGTTGGCTGCACCTGCCATTGGCTCTGCTGCCACCTACTGTTGGGTTCCCAGCATTCCACCCTACCAGTCCCAGTGGGCACTCACCACCATTTTGTGTTCTCATCCACAATGCCATTCAAGGAAAAGGGGTCCTTCTTTTTTTTTTTTTAATGATATTTATTGAGATTTCAAAAAATACAAAAGTTGCACAAAAACAAAAAATAGAAAATACAAAAGCTTACACAAAAAAAGATACAAAAATAGAAATAAAAATATGAGAAAATAGAAAATACAGAAAAAAAATAATAATAAAGAAGAAAAAAAATTAGACCTCCTCCTCCTCCCTTCCTTTGTATTCTGGTTATTATCATAGTGCTGTTTCATGACTAATAAGGAAATAAAATACTTAAAGTTGTCACCTAATTTAATCCTATCTTCTGCCTTAGGTGATCTTAAAATTTTGTTGGATCCACTTTACAACTTCTTATGGGTATAGTGTTCTTTCATAATTCTTTATACATCTTTACTAATAGGTAATTTCTTAACATTTTCTATCATTCATTTTTCTATCATTCTCATTCATCAACATAAAACATTATTAGTTAAAAAAAGAAAAAAGCATATGACAAGTCCAATCTTTATCAACGTCCTTCCTCTGGTTCGGGATTTGTCAGTCCTTGTTCCTCCCAAAATCTAACCGGTGACCTTATGTCAGACCCTCGGGTCACTTCCATAGCCTTCCGCGACTTTTCTTCATATTTGGCCGTAGTCCTTGTCGTAGTAACTCCGTGTTTTTAACCTTCTCATCCAAATCAGACCATTTCCATATTCATCGCTGCATTCATACTGGTATTTAGAGCATGCTTCAAAGACCTCGGGTACCCGCGTTCATTCGACTGTAGGTGTTTTATTTAAAAAGTCAGATGTCGACATGCAGGTGTCCAGCCCCATTCAAGCTCCACCAGACTTTCCTTCCCAGATCTGGTTTTTTTTCAGTTCTATTTGTGAGTCCGAAGGTCAAACTCCTGTTGAGACTGTTCCCAATCCAAGCCACACTCTGATTTAATGCCACAAACCCTGTTCTGTCAAAACACACTCCTGGTTGGTCTGAATAGACTCCACATATATTCCCACAGTTGATCAAGACCTTCCTCTGCCTGTCTAAGTTTTCCAGTCGACTTGGCCATCTGGTTCTGCCATCATAATTCTTCCAGAAGGGTACAGTGTGCCTCATAGAGCAGTGTAATCCCGTTCCTTTGAGTCTTCGTCTAGCGGTTTAAGTCTTCTTGAAACAACCCTGTGCGGCTTAGCAGTTAGCGCTGTTATGGTTTAGCGGCTGACCAAAGGCTTAAAGGCTTGTAGTTAACTGCTAAAAAAAGGCTATTAAAGCTATTAAACAGATTTAGATAAAGGGGGAAAGCGAAAAAGTCTCTAGACTATGGAACATTTTATTAAGTATTTATAGGAAGGTGATCCTCTGAAACCTTCAATTGAGCCCTTTAGTCTAGCGGGTTTCAGAACTATGAGCATTCGTCTTGCGGGCACCACTGTATTTGTTTGTTAAGCAGGCAGTTGCTTCTGAAAACATTTATTGCGCTCTCCCATGGTTGTTGTGGCTACTGTCAAGTCCTTGGCGTGGTTACAGTTTCAAAGCTCCCACCGGGAGAGAAGACCATGTTTATTTTGCTACATTTCCATGTTATGAAATACTTTATCCATATATGTTAATTCCTTTTGAAATGCGAAAGGGAACAATAGAGTCTAAAATTCCTCTTCTTTTAACTATCTGTCACACACAGTTATCTAGTTGGGTTGCGTCAGTCTGGCTTTTGCTCCAGGATCAGGTTGAAAATAACTTCCTTTTCCTGCTTCAAATGGTCAAAAAATATTCCCAATTTGAAATGTTTAGGTCATCTTTTAAAAACAATTTTCAAAAAACTCTAGTGTAAATTGCCTTTGCTATTCTATTTACAAAAGGCAGGGTGTCACTGTTTAGCCCCTTCAGCTCAGTACCAAATTCAATCCAATTTTTCCTTTCTTTTTATAGTCCAATTCTGTCCTTTCACTAATCTTATTTACTGCTTGTTGTTAATTCTTGGTTATCTGGATGTTTTTAAAGTCAGTGTCCAGGAAAAAAAGGCAGCTCTCCAGCAACAGCTCATGACTTCCTCACAAAGAAGCAGACGAGCCTAAAAGCACAGCGCCTTCCAGCTCTGTTCGGGCCCGTTGCCGAGTTCCTTTTCAGATTGGGCGCATCCCCAGTGCTCCCTTGAGTCCCAGAGTCTGAGCTTCACCCGCCTGGTTTAAAGGTCCCATCTGTGACTGGTGCCAGTTGATTTCTGTTGGACGGTTTTCCCTCTGATTAGAGTTCCGCCATTGCCGACCGCCGCCTCGGGATCGGAAGAGTCCTTCTTTAGGTGGTGTGTCCTTGGTGGTGCTCATATTTGTTTCCTCTCTCCTGTACCGAAAGCGATGGCCTTTCTCCACATCATTGCCCTACTGCTGGTGACTGGGCTGTGCATGGGCCAGGACTTCCCTTTCAGGGACCCCACATTGCCTTGGGAGGAGCGGCTGGACGACCTGGTTAACAGGCTGACATTGGATGAGATGATACTGCAGGTACAAGAAACACTTTTTGACCATTTGACAGAGGTGGCAGGGCAGAATAGGTGTGGAGAGGCCTGGCAAAGGGCATCAAAGCTGCAGGAAGGGAGGAGGGCTGGTTTGGAATTGTAAGGAACATCAGACTCCTGCTGGATGGATCAAGGAACCATTGAGTCCTGCATCTTCCTTCTCATAATGGCCAACAGATGCTTCCGGGAAGTCCATAAGCCGGTATTTAAGGCACTAGCTCTACCTTCCTGCAGCACACAATGGGACGCTGTGGTCTAAATCACTGAGCCTAGGGCTTGCCAATCAGAAGGTCGGCGGTTCGAATCCCGCAATGGGGTGAGCTCCCGTTGTTTGGTCCCTGCTTCTGTCAAGCTGGCAGTTTGAAAGCACATCAAAGTGCAAGTAGATAAATAGGTACCGCTCCGGCGGGAAGGTAAACAGTGTTTCCGTGCGCTGCTCTGGTTCTCCAGAAGTGGCTTAGTCATGCTGGCCACATGACCCGGAAAAACTGTCTGCAGACAAACGTCAGCTCCCTCGACCAGTAAAGTGAGATGAGCACGCAATTCCAGAGTCGTCCGCGACTGGACCTTAAGGTCAGGGTTACCTTTACATTTTACCTGCAGCACACACAATAACTAGGATTTAGTTGTACACTCTCTTAGAACATGGAGGTTCTTCTTCAATCTCATGGCCAATTGCAATGAAATAGAAAGCCTGGATAGCTCAGCTGGCTAGAGTGTGCTGCTGATAATGCTAAGGTTGCAGGTTCAATTCTTGTATGAGACAGTTGCATATACCAGCATTGCAAAGGGTTGAACTAGATGGTCCTCATGGTACCTTCCAACTCTACAATCCAACGTGATAGAAATCTATAAAACTATGCATAGTGTGGAGCAAATGGGTAGATAAAAAGTTTTCCTCCTTCTCTCTTAACACAGACAAAAGGAAGTACTTCTTCACACAACACATAACTATGAAACTCGCTCCCACAAGGTGTAGCGATTAATGGCCGACTTCAATGGCTTTTAAAAAGAGTTACACAAATTCACAGAGAATAGGGCTATCAGTGGCTCCTTAACCATGTTGGAGGCAGTTCTGAATGCTAGTTGCTGGAAACCGCAGGAGGAAAGAGTGCTGTTGCACTCAGGTCCTGCTTGTGGGTTTCCCAGAGGCTCTTCTTATCAGCCACATCCCCTGGCAGGCAGACCCATTATGTAATTGGTGGGATGTAGTACGGCATGTAATCCTTAATCCAATGGAATGGGCCCTTCAGCTCCTCTGCACTCCACATTTTTATGGAATATCCTAGGAGGTGTAGAGAGAGGCCAGGAGGGCCACATTTGGCCCCAGGTCCTGAGGTTTCCTACCCTTGCGATGCATCTTTACTTCAGTGCAAGTCTAATTGGATTCAGTTGGACTTACTTCTGGCTAAACATGCATGGGAGCGGGCTGAAAATGTTGCAAGCCTCGTTAATTAATTTGGAATAACAAGCACCTTATGATTGCCTTAGCATAGACAGAATAGATTCCCTGCTTCTCTCACAAGTGTGGGTTGAAAGGAGGGAGGAAAATCTACCACTGGTTACTTGGTGTTTAGAAGCATTTAATATGCACTCAGTGGTCTAGTGGAAGCTGCCATCCCAGTGCACAAAGGAATCAGCCCTTTGGGATTCCCTGAGCTTAAGCTTAGTGCCACCTCATTGCAAAACAAAGACCGGGTACGGAAGAGTTCTGAGGGGCTGCCTCATCTGCTGACTGGTGCTGTGGCTTGTTCACCCACAGATGGCAAGAGGAGGGGCAAAGGGCAACAACCCAGCGCCGCCCATTAAACGATTGGGCATTGGGCCCTACAGCTGGAACACGGAGTGCCTGCGTGGAGACGTTATGGCCCCAGGATGGGCAACTGCTTTCCCCCAGGCCCTGGGCTTGGCTGCCTCCTTCAGGTATGGCTGCTGTTGAAAGGTGGGTCTTGACTGTGGCTTCTCCTAGGTTCCCCTTGATTCCCTTTCAACCTATTCTACTAGTGCCCCATTTTGGCCCCAACAGAGTTGCTGGGACTCTGTCCCCTGGGAGGGCCCACTAGGGCTCTGCCATGGTCCTGCCTTGTTGAGTGGCAGACAACCATGAGCCGCCATTTTACATTTCCCAGTGTGCTTTGTAGGAACTTACCCCATTATACTGATGAAATTAGGCAAGCACTTTTCTGGCATTGTTTCTATCACCTTATAAAAATGTTTTTGTTTTTCCAAGCCTACTCAGATTTCCAAAGCTAACGTGCATTTTAACCTGTGATTTTCTTTTGCGATCATTTATATTTTTAACTATTGATCTTATTGATATTTGGAATTACTTTTAGATCAGCTTGTTTTTAACTTTTGGCTTTCATAGATCATTTTAATGTATTTTAAAATGTTTTCTGTAAACTGCTTACAGGTTTTGACATCTGAGCGGTAGAGAAATGTTATTTTAAAAAATAAAATAAAATAAAAATCACTCTCTGAGGGATTTTTTTTTTTAATTTAAAATGGCAGTTGCCTAGCATGTGGAGGGGTCCCTTGAGTGCAGGAAGGGACCCTAAAAAAAGTAACATACCAAGGGTTCCTTCAGCCCTGGAGCCAGTCCTGGCCTCGTTTTCCATTTCAGCTGCCTGAAAATTACAGTTCTAATTGTTAGAAATGGTTGCTGATTTAAGAGAAGCAATTCTGCTTGGTTGCCAGCTCTCCCCCCCCCCCCCGAAGTAAGGTTCCTGAATGACACAAAGCCCTGTCAAATGGCAACCTGGCCTCCATTTCTGTCAGTTGCAAGAGGCAGCGTCAATTTTTCCAGAGAACTGAAGTTTATTTGAAAGAGGAATCGCTTCTTGAGATGTGTGCACACATTCCCTCGTCACCTCTAGTAAACGGGTTTTGTATAATTTCAAAAGCCATGTGTATCAGAGGCTGAAGAAGGAATAAAGAAATACATGTGCCTCTTGAAAACCAGATTCAACCCTCTGAAAAAAATATTTTCTAGCCTCACTGAAGTAGTCAATCTATTCCAAGGCCCTTTAAAAAAAAAAATGGTGGTGGGAAGCTGACGTGATTTAAATGCCCCTCCATGTAGCCAGTGTGGTGTAATTGGACTAGGAAAAGGGATCAAATCTTCACATAGTTCTGAAACTCAGTTGTGAGGACATTTTTGCCTCAAGCATTCAGTCAAACAGGACCTAAAATGTCTCCTGAAGTGCCTCAGCCCAGACATAGGTTTACCCCACCTCCATCCCAGCCTCTGCCTTCAGCTTCAATAACAATTTGCTAGATCAAAATGTCCTTTTTGACTTCCTCTCCACTGCTGCTTCTCTTTGCTGACAGCCCTGAGCTCATCTACCGCGTGGCCAATGCCACGGCCACTGAGGTCCGTGCCAAACACAACTACTTCATCTCCGTTGGTAACTATGACGACCACACTGGCCTGAGCTGCTTCAGCCCCATGTTAAACATTATGAGGCACCCACTGTGGGGCAGAAACCAGGTATGAGAATGGTTTAGGAAATGGGGACTCCACAGGTGGGAGGATACAGAGGGATGGGCAGACCTGTTCATTTCAGTTTCTCATTTTCTGCTCTTAAGTTCAATTCTCCACATTTCCACATCAGTTTGTGATTTCCCTTCTAAAAAGTCCTCACGGTAATTCATCAACATTTTAGTGTGGATTTATCCTAATACGAGCATTTTTGCAAAGCAACTTTCCCCAGTACAATGCCTTTTTTTGTATGCTGTTTTCACCAATACAAGCATTTCTATGCACACTTTACACTAGTATGTGCATGTTTGAACACATTTAGCTGGAAAAACTGCACTTCAAAATTCAGGAAAGAATGAATTTCAAAGGATGGTTGTGTTTCAGTTCTTTTCTTGTTTCAGAAAGTGCAAATTACCCGTAAGTAGGACTGTCTTTAAATGAAAACTGAATCTCATTTATTCCCCATCCATAGTGGTGCCTAAAGTGGGCAATAAGAGCCAAATGCGGATTATTGGGGAACACATGACCTGTTTCTGGTCAAAGGTGTTACTCCTATTACCAAGCTTGGAGTATTGGGATGGCTATTTTTTCTTAGATATTTTCATATTCTATTTATTATTTACTTAATTTTGTAAGAATAAAAATGCAGGAATATGAAAAAACATGAGAAAATATGAGAAAAATGCTGCTTGTTTTAAAATATTTTACCAAAATATTCCAATACCATCAGGTACAGTGGTACCTCGGGTTAAGTACTTAATTCGTTCCGGAGGTCTGTATTTAACCTGAAACTGTTCTTAACCTGAAGCACCACTTTAGCTAATGGGGCCTCCCGCTGCCACTGCGCCGCCAGAGCACGATTTCTGTTCTCATCCTGAAGCAAAGTTCTTAACCTGAAGCACTATTTCTGGGTTAGCAGAGTCTGTAACCTGAAGCGTATGTAACCTGAAGCGTATGTAACCCGAGGTACCACTGTATATGAAAAATGTAAATCTGACAAACAAAAGGGTTTTGTAACAGAAATCTCTCGATTCGAATCCGAGATAGTAAACTCTAAAAGAAAAACCCTCTCCAAAGCATACTGACTCCTCCTTGACTGGGAAGTCAAGGAGGAGGAGGTCACTGCAGCCATGGTTAGGTGGTCACAGGACTTTGGGTATTCAATAACCATGCCACAGTGGGGAAATTTGTGGAAGAATAATTGGAAATTCACAAACTGTTATACTCTAAAAGAAAACTTCCTAAAAATGCAACACCGATGGTATCTAACACCTTGGGAATTGTCAAAGATGTACAAAAATGTCCCCAGTAATTGCTGGAAGTGTGGAGATAAATCAGGCACTTTCTACCATATGTGGTGGCTATGCAAAAAAATCCAGGCATTTTGGAATGGTATCCACTTAGAAATACAAAAAATAATAAAGACTTCCTTTAAGAGAAAACCAGAAGCTTACCTCCTGGGGATCACAGATTTGGATACAGTGGTGCCTCGCAAGACGAAATTAATTCGTTCTGCGAGTTTTTTCGTCTAGCGAATTTTTCGTCTTGCGAAGCACAGTGTCGGAAAAGTTTTGGAAAAGCTTCAAAAATCACCAAAGTCTTCAAAAACCTCAAAAAAGGCTACCACACCGCGTGCTATGAGTTGCTCCTCGAAGTCAAGTCGCAACTGTATTAACGGTGTTAAGACAAAGGAAACAAACTTGCAAGACATTTTCGTCTCGCGAAGCAAGCCCATAGGGAAATTCGTCTTGCGAAGCAGCTCAAAAACCGCAAAACCCTTTCGTCTAGCGAGTTTTTCGTCTTGCGAGGCATTCGTCTTGCGGGGCACCACTGTATCCCACAAAAAATGAAGAGTACCGTATTTTTCGCCCTATAGGACGCACTTTTTCCCCTCCAAAAATGAAGGGGAAATGTGTGTGCGTTCTAAGGGGCGAATGCAGGCTTTCGCTTCAGAAAGCTCTCCGTAAGCCTTGGGAGCCCACGGGAGTTCCTGTCGGGTTCCCTAGGCTTGCGGATAGCAGCCTGCATCTCGAAGCCTTCGGTTCCCCGACCTGGTTTGGAGGCTGGCGGTGGGGAGAAGCGTGCGTCTCCCTGCCGCCAGCCCCACAAGCTCGGGGGACAGCGGGGAGGCGGAACGCCGCCATCCCGCTGTTCCCCGACCTGGTTTGGGCTTCAGGCAGATATCCGCAAGGCGTGGGAGTCCGGCAGGAAGTCGCGCCGGTCTCCCAAGGCTTGCGGAGAGCTGCCTGTTCAGGGGGCTGGGGTCGGGGGAAGCTCGGAATTCCCCCGCCCCAGCCCCGCGCCTGGGGGGGAAATATTTTTTTCTCTCTTTATTTCCCCCCCCAAAAAAACCTAGGTGCATCCTATGGGCCGGTGCGCCCTATGGGGCGAAAAATACAGTATACAGTGGTTCCTCGCAAGACGAATGCCTCGCAAGACGAAAAACGCGCAAGACGAAAGTTTTCCGTTTTTTGAGTCGTTCCGCAAGACGAATTTCCCTATGGGCTTGCTTCTCAAGACGAAACTTCTTGCGAGTTCTTGCGAGTTTGTTTCCTTTTTCTTTAAGCTGCTAAGCTGTTAATAGCCGCTAAGCCGTTAATAGCCGCTAATAGCCGCTAAGCCGCTAATAGCCATGCTTCACAAGACGAAAAAACCGCAAGACGAAGAGACTCGCGGAATGGATTAATTTCGTCTTGCGAGGCACCACTGTATTTTTATATGCCACAGTGGCAGCAAGAGTCCTTATCGCTACAAAGTGGAAGAGTGGTGAAATCCCTTCTGTTCATGAATGGATCCAAAAGTTAACGGATTATGCAGAGTTAGATAGTTTATCAGAAAAAATAAAGAACAAACCAAAACAGGAATCATCTCAAAATGGGAAGTCTTTAAAGTTTATTTGAAAAACAATTACAGTAGTTTAAATTCTGCTGCAGCATTTGAATAACTTTAGTAGTAGATTTAAGAAAGATCTGAAACCTTAGATAAATCAATAATTAGTTAATCAGTTAATTTAAGACAAAAACGTGTATGGGCAACAAATAATTAATAATTGAAATAAGGAATGGGCTGGAGGTCGGGTCTATAGTCCAAGGAACACTTTTTGGTTTATTGATTTGTAATTAATATTGTCCTTATCATGGTTTGTTTTGAATTTCTTGTCTTGTTTTTTTTCTTTTTTGGTGTATCAATAAAAAATATTTTTTAAAAAAACCAAAATTCGTGTACAGTGGTACCTCGGGTTACAAACACCTCGGGTTACAGACTCCACTAACCCGGAAGTAGTACCTCGAGTTAAGAACTTTACCTCAGGATGAGAACAGAAATCGTGCGGCGGCAACGTGGCAGCAGCGGGAGGCCCCGTTAGCTAAAGTGGTACCTCAGGTTAAGAACAGTTGCAGGTTAAGAACGGACCTCCGGAATGAATTATGTTCGTAACCAGAGGTACCAGTGTACTGCTTAAAATATAGACACCAAACTATGTACGGTTCAAAAACAATATAGCAAAAATAAAATACAAACTAAATAGAACATCATAAATCAGTAATACAATACACTAACTGGGTCACACCGCAGGAGAAACTTGTGTAAGTAAAGAGGTCTAAATAAGTGGCTAAGATGTAATGCTGTTGGCATTTAATTTCCAAAGGGAGGGAATGACTGTGGCTCTCTCACCAGAAGTACCAGACAGCAGGTTCCTTTGTGGTGATGAAAGGTGTGGACACCAGGAACTGAGAGGAGGGGGAGGAGGAGGGATGTGTCACAGAGAACGGGCATGACCCAAGTCTCTGTCTGTCTGTCTATTCTTCAGGAGACTTACGGAGAGGATCCATTCTTGACCAGGGAGCTGGGTGTGGCTTTTGTGACAGGGCTGCAGGGTGACCACCCCCGCTATATCAAGGCCAGCGCTGGCTGCAAGCACTTTTCCGTCCATGGGGGCCCCGAGAACATCCCTGAGCCCCGTTATTCCTTCGATGCCAAGGTCAGTATGACTGGCAGGTTGGGAGCTGGGAGGTGGCAAGGGCTGAATGGAGGAGGTTTCCTTGTCCTGTGTGCTGGCTCATTCCCCCCCTCTCCCTGCTTCCGCCATCATCATTATCATTTATTTGTATGCCGCCTTTCCATAGTAAACTATGCTCAAGGCAGCTCACAACACGAAGAAAGTTACATACAGTGGGCCTGCCACTGATGCACAATTTGTTTTTGCGATTGTAGCCTTAGGCTCATGGCTGAAAAATAAATAAATGGAGTGAGGGGAAACCCGCTACAGAGTTTGTAGAGCTCTACGCCTTGTTTTGCAGCCTCTGGGAAGGATGTGTGAGGCTCCCAGGACCCTCGTACAACCTTCCCAAAGGCCGGTGAGTGAGGCAGAGGGCAAGGCCCACTCTGGAAAGATAAGGGTTGGTTAATTTGGTGGTGGTGGGGTTTCTGGGGGGGGGGTTTCCTGCCTTTGCACATGGACCCCGGAACAGAACCCTCACATAAGTGGCGGCTCACTCAACTCACTAAGTTACAAGTTATAACAAAATTGAGATAATCAATTGATTAATGAAAGCATCTCATTAAGAAATATCCAATTCAATTAAGCAACCCCCTTTTAATTCATAATAAGAATCATAGAATTGGAAGGGACCACAAGGGTCATCTAGTCCAACACCCTGCAATGCAGAAATATTTTGCCCAACGTGGAGCTCAAACCCACGACCCTGAGTTTAAGAGCCTCATATACAAAAACTTGAATCACAAAAGCAGCAAAAATAATGCACCACTGAAATTAAATATTGGCTCCAAAATCTTGAATCCCCTAAACCTCCCTTCCAAACTATTGCTGCTTTGTGAATGGGATTCAATCACATACCACATACACTGGGAGAGCCAGTGTGGTGTAGTGGTAAAGAGCGGTAGACTCGTAATCTGGTGAACCAGGTTCACGTCCCCCCTCTCCACATGCAGCTGCTGGGTGAACTTGGGCTAGTCACACTTCTCTGAAGTCTCTCAGCCTCACTCACCTCACAGAGTGTTTGTTGTGGGAGAGGAAGGGAAAGGAGATTGTTAGCCGCTTTGAGATTAATTAGGGTAGTGATAAAGCGGGATATCAAATCCAAACTCTTCTTCTTCTACCAGCAAATTTGGGTTGTGCAATAGAAGTTGATTTGGTCTCTTGCACAACAAACAGCAGTGGGGTCTGTTCCCCCACTGTTGCTCCTGAGCCCCATAGAATCATAGAGTTGGAAGAGACCACAAGGGCCATCGAGTTCAACCCCCTGCCAAGCAGGAAACACCATCAGAGCACTCCTGACATATGGTTGTCAAGCCTCTGCTTAAAGACCTCCAAAGAAGGAGACTCCACCACACTCCTTGGCAGCAAATTCCACTGTCGAACAGCTCTTACTATCCCCCTCTGCTGGCGGGCAAGGCTATGTGTTACATGCAGATTGCTCTGCACTCCCTAAATTATCCTGCTGCCTTCTGATACAGTAAAGGGTGTTGTTGTGTTGCCAGTGTTCAACTAAGATTCAGCAGCCAGTCTTGTTGACTTCTCTACACAGAATGGGGAGAAAGACGCCATCTTGTTCTTTGCTTCAGGCGGCAAAATGTCTCAGGCTAACCCTATTTCTAGGTGTCCTGGAATTTTGTCAACAATGCTTAGGGTGGTGGTAGTGGTATGCCAGGAGGGAATGATATCTGTGCTCTGTACCAGGTGGAGGAGCGTGACTGGCGCATGACCTTCCTGCCTCAGTTTGAGGCCTGCGTACGGGCTGGAACCTTCAGCTTCATGTGCAGCTATAACAGGTATGTCTGGGTTCTCTCTCTAACTTTCGGATGGCAATGGGACATTAGGCTTCAATCCTGATCCCAGTTAACCTGAGAGTGAGCCCCATTGAATTCAGTAGGATGTTCTTCTGAGTAGACATTGTTAGGCTTGTGGCCCCCAAGGTTTCTCCCAACTGAATGTGGCTGAAAAAGTTTCCCACCCCTGTGCTAAAATTATGTGGTTCGACATTAGAGCAGGGGGCATACCAACAATGTTTGCAACGCTTTTGAGCCTGATAGCTTTCTTTCTCGCCTGTGCCAGGATTAATGGAATCCCCGCCTGCGCTAACAAGAACCTGCTAACAGACATCCTGCGTGGAGAATGGGGCTTCCAGGGCTATGTGGTGAGCGATGAGGGAGCTGTGGAACTGTTATGGCTTGGTCACAACTATACCCACAGCTTACTGGAGTCTGCCATAGGTGAGCACTACCCAGCATTGACGTCCGGCTCTCAGCCCAGAGTGGGCAGCTCCCCATAATGAGGACGGGGTGAGAAATTAGATCCAGTTTGCACTTTAATGAGAACATAACCCATTTTGTAGGTCTTGGACCAATAACATGAATCAAAACACAATTATCTTTCAGAACCCACAGTTGTCTTAATTTTGCAACGCAGTTCTCCAATCAAACAGTTGGCATCATTGGGAGCCAATGAAGAAGTATTGTGTACAAAAAGGATTATATATGGGGAATGTGTGGATAAAAGTCTATATATTAGTGAAAATAACATACACAGAAATGCATTATATCAGGATGTGGCTTGCAAAATGGTGTAAGCTACTCAAAGCTGCACACCAGAATGGGTATATCTTATTAGTAATTAGAAACTTTAGTCTGAATGTAGAGCACAAAGCAATCTATTATGTATTACCGTGATTAATATTTTTGTCCCATTCTTCTGCTTGTAACGCATCCAGAGGTGCTTATGTTTAAAAAAGATACAATGCAGTTAAGTTCAGCTGAGGAAAAGTTGTGTCTTTGAACTCTTGGACTATAATGATCCCAATTCTCTACCTCTCCTGCTGCAGCTTCTGTGAATGCCGGATGCAACCTGGAAGTTTCATACGGGATGGTGAACAATTCTTTCACATTTATAGGCCAGGCTGTTGCCAAAGGCAACATCTCCTTGGAAGTAAGTGGTTCCACCCAAGGGGAACAAGGAGTGGGAAAAGGTGGGTCATTGGATGCAGTTATTAGTGACCATCCAATTGCAGCTCATGCATGCCAAAATGTGAAATCATCCTATTTCCTCAAGAATATCCTACAGATAGACAATGGCGCCTGAGGAGCATATTCCCTGTGTGAACATTTTAGTTATTTAGTTAAGATATTTAAATATTGTGTCTCCAAGTAATTTCCATAAAAGTAATACAAAATACAAAACAGATTAAAACATCGGAAAATAGAAAAATTAGAACAGCATCCATAGTGCCTCCCCAAAAGACTCTTACCTCTTGCTCCAGAGAGATCTGGTGCTTGCTGGATGTTTTAGACTAAGCTCCCATCAGCCCCATTCAACCGTCCCTTATTTGGCGGGAAAGTCCCTTATCCCAGCACTGTGTCCCGCTGCTGTCCCTTATTGATGCTGTCCCTTAAATTTCCCAGGTTTCAAAGGAAGCAGCTCCTCTCCCTCCCTGCCTGCCGGCCAGGGAGGAGGGAGGCTCCAGCTGTTTTGCTCACCCAATAAGGAGTCTAAGAACGACTGGTGGGTGGAGCTTGCATGCCTTGTGCCGATCAAATCGGCCGCATTGCCTGGCGACTCACCTTTGCTCAGCGCTTCCCAGCGGAGAGGTGACGGTGGTTTTCCTTGCTGCATCCCCTTGCCGGGTTGCTGCGCTGTGGGAACCACCGCTTGAGGCTTTGTTTGGCTGTTGGCTGGGCTTTCTGCCTTTGGCTCGGAGGGGCTCAGAAGTTGAACATACCTGTGTTTGGAAAATCCCTTATTTTGGCTGCTGATGCCTTATTTTCGAGGCTGCTGGTCCCTTATTTTCAAATCTGTAAGTTGACAGCTATGGCCCCAGCCAACATGGCCAATGGTTAGGGATGATGGGAGTTGTATCCCAAAACACCTGGAGGGCACAAGCTTGGCTGTTCCAGAGAGCAGTATCGACACCAGCAGGTTCAAATTTTGAGAAACAGGTTTCCTGACAGTACAAGGTGTTCAATAGTGGGACAGTGTGTTAGAAGGGAGTGGACTCTCTGTTATTAATAGTGTTTTTTTTTAAAGCAGAAGCTGTATGACTACCTTTTAGGGATGCTGTTAAAAGGGTGTTGCTATAGATGCCCTTTGAGATCCCTACAACATTTTTAGCAGTCTGTGGTTTGAGGCTTTTCCTCCCCTTATACACATTCTGCTTCTGTTCCGCTCCTAACTCTGAGACCAATACATAACAAAGAGGAAATGATAGTAAATAATAATGTTAATACAATACATGATATAGCTACTAATATTTCCTCTGTCCCCGATCTCAGTAGTATTTAAAGCAGAGAATATAGCCACATCAAAAAGAGAGCTCTAACATACTAATTCACCAATCAGTTTCTTTAATTAACTTGTACAATACAATCCTAGCAACTGTCTTCGCAGCAGGATTTATTTGTGTATTTTATTAATAGCCTCAATCAAATGTTCCTTTGCAGTAATCTGAAATAAAGCCATCTGGTCCATTTACTTACTATATTTGATGTTTTCTAATGGCTTGATTTTCCTCAGTATTTTGCTTCTCTCCATGTGTAATTGCAGTAGGCTTTAAACCTTTTGGGATCTTAAGAGCTGTGTACGTTTCTGTAATATTCTACAAGCTCTTCAGTTATATATGACATTGGGGAAGAGGAGGTGAGCGAGGCTTGGTCGACATGGTTTCACGGGATAAGTGGGGAGGTTCCCCACCTTTCCCTAGAAGTCTGTGGGAGTGAAGATCTTTCACCCATCTCCATCCTTCCATTACAATGCTGCTTCACTAGCCAGCTCTGTGCCTCCCCTCCCTCCTACTATCTCCTGCAGACGATCAGGGCCAGTGTCCGCCCACTTTTCCGCACCCGCTTGCGCCTGGGTGAGTTTGACCCGCCAACCATGAACCCCTACAATGCCCTGGGACTGGAGGACGTGCAGACGGAGGCCCACCGCCAGCTGGCTCTTGAAGCTGCCATTCAGTCCTTTGTCCTGCTAAAAAACCAGCGCGGGATGCTCCCTCTTAAGGCCCCAGATGTGTTGAGGAAGAACTTTGCAGTAAGTGTTCACCATGGAGTGGTGTGATGGGGAGGGCATCTCGTCCCTTGCTCATTCTCCAGAGTTGCATCACCTCTGGCAACACTGGAACAGGGCAGACTGCAACAGAGAAACTAAATGCAGAACTCAGTATTGAAATATTAAACGATTGATTTACTACATTCTGTCCTTTGCGTGCATTAAAGTTTCTGTTTCAAACCCTTCCATCTCTAGCTGAAGGGTGGAGAGAGACACTTGTCCCAAGTCCTTGAGGAATTGCTGCCAGTCCTGTGCTCGGTGGACCTGAGTGCAACTGCACTGTCCCCACTTGTGATTTCCAGCAATTGGCTGGAATGGCAGTGACCATTTTCTGTTTTTCACATTAGGTCTCAACCGCTACATGTTGAGACACAACAAGTGCCCACTATTTGCACATTCTGTTCCAGCAGACTTTCCCAGCTGGATAAAGGGGTGTTTTCCATGAGTGTCTACCTTGTGTGGTTTTAGTTCGGTTTTAAATCCATTTGCGCTCTCTCTCTCTCTCTCTCTCTCTCTCTGTGTGTGTGTGTGTTTGTGTGTTTAATTATCTTCAATGTACATCACCTTGAAACTGTTGCTTGGAATGTGATGAATAACTTAATAATGTTGCATGGCCCCTGGACCTCCCACTCTCTGAATCATCTGAATCCCATTGTGGCCCCTAATTTCTTCTTGGCAGGTGGTTGGGCCCTTTGCCGACAACCCTAGGGTTCTCTTTGGGAACTACGCTCCAGTCCCAGAGCCTCAGTACATCTATACACCCAGGTAAGTCCTGAAGAAACCTCTCCTCCCTCCTGCTCCATCCTTGGAAGGCATTCCTGGTAGGATGCTGGAGCAGCTGTATCTTCATTTAAATCCAATCTGCACCCTAGAGTTGGCCTTACTTTTTGCATGCAGAGTAGGGCCATCTTTGCCAGACAGATTCTGCAACAGACAAGAAATTATGATAGTTTTCAAAAGGGACTGAAGTCCTTCAGGCTGAGGACATGCTGGATGCCAGACCCATAACTGCCCTTTAAGTGGGGCTGTCTCATACACACATCCTTGTTTGATGCAGGATTGGCTCCCTTGGCCAATAAAGCTAGATGAGCGCCTCAACCCCAGAGTCGTCCGCAACTGGGCCCAATGGTCAGGAGTCCCTTTATCTTTACCAAGGATAGAGTAGTTGCTGTTCCAGAGCTCAGAATGGCTCATTGCATTTCCCATCCCATCCTTGAGGGTCTGACTTGCTTAGTTTTGCCAGTAGAACCACATCATGTGCATTTCAGAGTCAGAACCTCTCTCTGGAAATGAAGCTTTGAGCATTCCTACACCCAGCACTCTGCTTTCCCCCTCCCACACCGGGCACTTATTTTCCATTTTAAATCACTTCCCTCTTCTGCCTTTGCTTCAAAACAAAAAAACCCAACCCTTAGTGTCAAGGCCAGCTCTTGGAAGCCAAACACTCTATTGAAAAGAAGCAAATACACTCTCATCAATGCAGTGAATTGTAGCCACAGGCTTTGGATGTGCATGGTCCAAAAGTCCAAGAAGCCACTGCCATCCCAGGATGCCAGACACAGCCCACCACCCTGTATGGTGCCCTGCTGGGTCTCCATAACCCAGCTGGCTTCTGTTGCCTACTCAGGGCAGTAAATACATGCTGAGGTGTATGTGTGTGTGTAAGGTTGGATGGGGCTAAGTTCCAGGCAGATCCCACTATGTGGCTGGTTTGGCTTTGCAGTCCATGGGTTATGCAGGCCAAATCCAGATATTTTTTGGCAGGGAACAAATACGTTTCCAGTGTTTGCCCTTAAGAAACTGAGAGCTGTTCTCATCTCTGCCTGGTGCAGGAGGGGCCTGGCAACAATTGCGGCGAATGTCACCTTTGCCGCCGGATGTACCTTTCCCACGTGCAGCACCTATATGCCAGCCCAGGTGAAGGCTGCGGTAGAAGCAGCAGACATTGTGGTTGTGTGCCTGGGTACAGGTAAGCCCCACATCTGGTGAAGAAAAAGGGTAAGAACAGCACCATGCTTTTCCCTACAGTGCAACGTTCACTTCACATATTAAGTAGTGAGACCCAGGAGACCATCTGCTTACTGCAGGCACTGATTCTTTAATTTTAATTCTCTGTATCACAGGGTGAGAAATCCATGTGCATTTTTATATACATACAAATGCATCCATGTCCACACACCTTGTGGTTATTTTCCTCTGTGCAGTCAAGTACATATAAAGCCCCTTCCATGCCTTAGTCAGTAAAGAGGCCTCCCCAAATTCAAGGACTGCATGGATCGCCCTGCTCCTGACCTCACAACTTCCTTGGCCCAATCTCTGTCGGCATCTGCAAAAGGAAACCTTTTTGCAATGGACCTATTTGCAAGATGACAACCTGTGCAATTGGAGTTGAATGGCAGGAAAAGCCGTGTGCATAGAGGTCTATGCATGTGCAGGCTTCCTCATCTATGTGTGCACAGTGCACAGACTTGGGTGGGTGGGATTCTGGGGAACTTTAGCCAGCAGCAGGGCCAGCCTTGTGGGTTCACAATCATTGGTTCTCATGGAGCCCCCTTGAGACATTAATCATGAGAGCAGGGAGCACAGATGTCATGGTCAGTGGTGATAGGAGCTGTGGTCCACCAGCATGCAGACCTCAAGCCACTCCATCAGTGGAGCCTGGCTTCTCAGTAAGACTGATGGACATCTTCTTTTGCTTTTGGAGAGTGGTACTTTGCCATTTCTCAAACTTTTGGAAAGGAGATTTTCAGAGAGGAGCCTCCTTGGTTTGTTTAGGATGAGGACAAGAGGGAAGGGAGTGGGTGGGCTCTTTTAACATGCCTTCTAACTCCCTCTGCCCAGGAATGGATCTGGAGACAGAAACCAAAGACCGGAAGGACTTAGCCTTGCCTGGCCACCAGCTGGAACTCCTTCAGGATGCTGTGGCCTGGGGTAAGCTTGATGTTTTTGCCCCGGGGGACACTACATGAGGAAGGGGAATGCCAAAGGCACTTGGTTGCACCAAACACTATAGAAGGTGGGGCCTGCAGGTAACCCACAGCAAGCAGCCAATCTAAACTCTTCTGTGGCTCATGGGCAGTTGTGAAATTGAGGTGTTTGGTGATGGTGGTGGGGCTCCCTTGGCAACTGTTTAGATTTACCCTTAGGAAGCTGCCAATGTTGAGTCAGGCATTGGTCCATCTAGCTCAGGGTTGTCCACATCAAGGGCTGCATTCCTTCTGGGATAATCAGTTGGGGGCCACATGCTGGCAGCGGACAGGGTCAAAGGCATCAGTGGGTGAGGCCCAGAGCCAAATGAGGACAGGGCATGCCCCATTTGCATCTCTCTACCTGCTGCCTTCTTCTCTCCTTCTTCCTTCCCAACCAGCAGGCTCTGGGGTAGGGAGGAATTGCTCTCACCAGAGGTCTCAACTGATAGCTTGCAGAAGTCTTTTGAAAGTAGGCCGTATGTTCCCCGAGGGCTACTGATGCTCACTGCTGGCTGCTCCCAGAAAGCTTCCTGGCTGAATAAGGATTTGAACCTTGGACTTGAAGTTCCATGCTCTCCAGAGTGTTGGGTTATGGCTCATTAACGAGTGTTTGCATGCATGGCATTGATTTGGCCTGTTTATTAATTGCTTAGGGCTTTGATTTCAGCTGCTGGACGTCCAGTGATTCTGCTGCTGTTCAACGCAGGCCCGCTTGACGTGAGCTGGGCCAAGGCACAGGACAGTGTGGGAGCGATCTTAGCCTGTTTCTACCCCGCTCAGGCCACTGGCCTGGCTCTTGCCAAGGTGTTGGTGGGAGCTAAAGGGGCAAATCCTGCTGGCCGACTCCCTGCTACGTGGCCTGCAGGCATGCACCAGGTAAGACTAGGATGCCCAGAAATTTGTAGGTAAGACAATCCCTGCCCCCACAGACTTTCAGTTTAACAGACATGACATACAAGAAAAAAGGGGTGGGGAGGGAGGAGGAGGAAAGCAAGGTCAGGCACCAGTTCTTAAAGCAGGAATGGGGGTTTGGCTCCATGGGCTAGATCCATATCAGTATTAGCCATGTATTATGACATCACATGATAGACAGGTGGGTTGTCCCACTCACCTGTCAAAATCCCTTGTGGGGTTCCCACCCTCCCACCAGCCAGCTGGTTTGTGGGTGCTTGGGAACCACAGCACAAGGGGCCTTGCTCAACATTTTGGAAAGCACAGTGCACTGGGATGGCAAAGCACTTTTTTGTCCCGTCCTCTGGAGAAAGGAAAGAAGCCTGCATTTTATAGGCTTTATTTGCCATGCACCTGTTCCCTGAGCAAAATTTAACCCTCACTTGTCAGCCTACAAGTGGGTTTACATTCTGCTGCGTTGGCTGCAGGTGTGTATTCCTTCCTGGCATCCAATGAAATATGGGCATGTTTTAAGGGTGTACGTGAACCTGAGCCTTACAAGCAGGAACTGAGCAGGAAAAGCAAATAGCATTGTGGATTTTTGAGGAGATGTTAGCTAAGACCCTTTACAGGAACCATGGGAATTACTGGCAAGCACACTGGTGTCCACAGGTGCCACACTGGCGACCCCTGAGCTAAGATATACTCCTTGCTATTGGTTGTACCTTGTGCATTTCCCACCATGTGCCTCCTCATTCAGACTGGCTTGGCCCATGGGCTTCTTCCCATCCCGTTCACTCATTTGTGGCCGTTACCACAGGTTCCACCAATGGAGAATTACACGATGGTTGGACGGACATATCGCTACTATGGGGACGAGGCTCCGCTGTACCCCTTTGGCTATGGGCTCTCGTTTACCACCTTCCAATACAGCGACCTGGTGCTAGGTGCCAATGTCGTGCCCATATGTGGTAACCTCAGCATCTCTGCAGTAGTGAAGAATGTGGGCTCCAGGGATGGCGAAGAGGTGAGGCAGTATGTGTGTATTTCCCCACAAACTGGGATAGCAGGGAGAAGAGGGAGGAATTCAACCATTGCCATAGCGCTATGGCAATCATTCCACCAGTGCAAGCTTTTTCAGATGGAAAAATCCCCGCTCCCCTCTGTTTGGAACAATCCATCCTCTCCTCCTCCTGCTGTTCTGGGGGTTCTCCTGGCAATTTTCGGGTGGGGGAGGAAAGCCATACCATGCTAATGTAAGTATTTCTGATTAATGGGACTAGGTAGTTGAATCCCTCCCAATTTTAAATATATATATATTATTGATTTTCATGAGAAAACAATACAACAACAATATAAAAGTTGACAGAAGAGCAAGCAGTTGAAAAGCTTTTGAGGATACCTAAAGCAGAAGACTTTCGAGTCCAAATGACAGAGGATAGAGGCCACTTCAGCCAGTGTTCCACCGTCTCAGGAAGGCAGACAAATGATGGAGACCTTGTATATGCCCTTTAACGTATTCCAGAAGTGAGCTCCAAGTAGCAGAAAAGTCAAATGGTTTTGCCTTTGGGCAGTTTTATGCTGAAAGTCAATTTTTCTGCAAGTGGAATATGCAAAAGTCTCTGAAGCCATTGCTCAAACGTTTAGCTGACTGCCAGCTTCCAGGTTTTTGCAATTTCTCGGTGAGCAGACAGTAACAGGAAATATATTAATGCGGTATGCCCCCATGCATCATTGCCATCTATCCTGCCCAATATTTTAATGGGGAGCTTGAACCAATGATATCTAGGGCTAAGCATAGAAAATGGAATCTACATCCATTTAAAAAAGCAAGTTTGTAGCCCTTACGGCTGTGAAGATATGCTTGAAGTGTGTGAAATTCCTGCTGTGATCTTGGAAGCCAGGGAGATATCTGAGCATGAGCCTGAAATTGGTTCCCGTTCCCTGCCCCAAGTGCACTTGCAGCTTACTGAATAGCAGGAGCCAGGAAGCACCTTCAGCCACTTTGGTTTGATGAGATTGGGATGGATCTTCTGAGCTCAGTGTTGCTCTTCCTTAGAATAAGCAGAAGTAGAATAAACCATGCAAGAGAATCTATGTCAAAATGCATCATTTTATATAGGCTCTGTATTTCAGATCTGGAACTAGTGGGTGAGGTTTTGGGAAAAGGTGTTTTGGTGTCATTGTCTCCGGGTAGATGGGACATTATCCCCATGCACCTGCCTTTTGTAGTTTGCAGTTCAAGCTACTTCCAAACAATGCTGCTGCCTCCACCACCAACACATGCAGGGGTGAAAACTCTTAGAAGAGCGAGCCTTGGGGTTTTCTCCTCCTAACAGTTCCTTCCTTCTGCAGGTGGTGCAGCTCTGCCTCCGCTGGGGAGGGGCATCCGTGCCAGTGCCTCGCTGGCAGCTGGTTGGCTTCCACCGTGTTCCAGTGCCTGTGGGACGTGCCGTGAAAGTACCCTTCCAGTTAGACTTCAGCCAGAGAGCCATCTGGGCTGGGGAGTGGCGCCTGGAGCCTGGCACTTTCACCCTTTTTGTTGGGGGGCAGCAGCCCTTCCAAGAAACCCGGGCCCCTTCTAACATCCTGCAAGCTGATTTTACAGTCTCCGGGAAGGCCTGCCGCACCGTCCAATGCTAGTCATCGGAACTGATGAGGGAGGAGGCCCCTGAAAGGCAAAAGGGCATCTTACTCGGTCAGGCCATGTATATATGAGATGAGTTTCTAAGAAAAATGTGCAGGAGGAGGGAGAGACTGTGAGGCCCTATGAACTGTGGGAGAGGGTAATATCCCTCTGGATATACGCCAGCCTTGTTTTTGTGGCCTGGCGACAAGAGCTGTTTTCAGTGGAGCACTGGTGAGGCTGGGGCTGATCTGGAGAAGGTGGTTCTGGGATAACAGAAGGTTCTCTGAAAGGATGATTACAGTTTGCTTTTTAAAGTCATTGATCATGTCTTCAGCTAGCTTTGCTAAAACTGAATAGGCAATAAAGGGCTCAAATAGCAGGAAGTGGAAGATGCTTGAAAGATGCTTGTTTGGGTCTGATCTCATGTGTCATAGGCACCTGGAGGTGGGGTTTGGGGCACTTACATCCACTGGAACTGCTAGGGCAGAAAGCAGGAAAGCCAACAGTTTTTCTTTTCTTCTTTGGCGATCACTCATAGCCGAGTAAGATTGTCTTTTTTTTTTTTTTTTTTTTTTAATATTTATTAAAGTTTCACAAAAATACAGAAAACAGAGAAAAAAGTATAAATTACAGCAAAAAAATTAAAAGTAAGAAAAAACATACAAAATAAAACAATTAAAAACACAATGATGTTCCATAACCTATCTTCCTTACTCTTATTTCCCCAGACCTCCTCATACCTCCCTTCTTTGTATTCCAATTCAGTTTGTTGGTTCAGCAAATCCTTACCATTAATCTTTTACCCAATTGTTAACCTTTTTTTTTTCATGTCTCTTAAAGCATTACAGCTAAAAACCTCTTAATTTCTATCCAACATCCTTCTAAAGTTCCTTAATTTTACAATATTTCTGTAAATAGTCCTTAAATTTTTTCCAATCTTCTTTCACCGACTCTTCTCCCTGGTCTCGGATTCTGCCAGTCATTTCCGCCAATTCCATGTAGTCAATCACCTTCATCTGCCATTCTTCCAAAGTGGGTAGATCTTGTGTCTTCCAATACTTTGCGATAAGTATTCTTGCTGCTGTTGTAGCATACATGAAAAAGGTTCTGTCCTTCTTTGGCACCAGTTGGCCGACAATGCCCAAGAGAAAGGCCTCTGGTTTCTTCAGAAAGGTATATTTAAATACCTTTTTCAGTTCATTGTATATCATTTCCCAGAAAGCCTTAATCTTTGGGCACGTCCACCAAAGGTGAAAGAATGTACCTTCAGTTTCTTTACATTTCCAACATTTATTATCGGGCAAATGATAAATTTTTGCAAGCTTGACTGGGGTCATGTACCACCTGTATATCATTTTCATAATATTCTCTCTTAAGGCATTACATGCCGTAAACTTCATACCTGTGGTCCATAACTGTTCCCAGTCAGCAAACATAATGTTATGTCCAACATCTTGTGCCCATTTAATCATAGCAGATTTCACCGTTTCATCCTGAGTATTCCATTTCAACAGCAAGTTATACATTCTTGACAAATTTTTAGTTTTGGGTTCTAACAATTCTGTTTCTAATTTTGACTTTTCCACTTGGAAGCCTATTTTCTTATCGACATTATATGCCTCCCCTATCTGATAGTCGGGGAGCCAAGCTCTCACTTTATTTTTGCATCTTTCAACACTCTGCAGTCTCAATTTATCTCCTTCTTGCTCCAAAATTTCCCAATATGTCGGCCATTTGGCCTCCATATTAAGCCTTTTCAGAGCTTTTGCTTCCATTGATGACAGCCACCTTGGGGTTTTATTTTCCAATAAGTCTTTGTATCTTATCCAGACATTAAACAATGCTTTCCTAACAATATGATTTTTGAATGCTTTGTGTGCTTTGACCTTATCATACCATAAATATGCATGCCATCCAAATACATTGTTAAAACCTTCTAAATCCAAAATGTCTGTGTTTTCAAGAAGTAGCCATTCTTTCAGCCAGCAAAAGCTGCTGATTCATAATAAAGTTTAAGGTCTGGCAGGGCAAATCCACCTCTTTCCTTAGCGTCAGTTAATATCTTAAATTTTATTCTGGGCTTCTTGCCCTGCCAGACAAATCTAGAAATATCTCTCTGCCACTTCTTGAAACAGTCCATCTTATCTACAATTTGTAATGTCTGAAACAAAAACAACATTCTAGGCAATACATTCATCTTTATCACAGCAATACGGCCCAGCAACGAGTTTCAAATTTGACCAAATTTCTAAATCTTTTTCACTTCCGTCCAACATTTTTCGTAATTATCTTTAAATAAGTTCCCATTTTTGGCTGTCATATTAATCCCCAAGTATTTCACTTTCTTTACCACATTCAATCCTGTCTCATTCTGAAACCTCTCTCTTTCAATCGGTGTTTTCTCTAAAACCTTAGTTTTTAACTTGTTCAATTTAAAACCTGCCACCTGACCAAATTCCTGAATTAATTCTAAAACTCTTTTAGTACTAGATTCTGGCTCCTGTAACGTCAATACTAGGTCATCTGCAAATGCTCTCAATTTGTACTGTTTAGCTCCGACCTGTATGCCCTTAACCAACCGGTCCTTTCTAATCATATTTAGCAAAACCTCCAGGACCGATATAAAAAGCAGTGGGAAATTGGGCACCCCTGTCGTGTCCCTTTTCTATCTTAAATTCTTCCGTAACCACATTATTTACAATTAATTTAGCCTTTTGTTCAGAGTATATTGCACCTATACCATTTTCAAAACCTTGGCCTACCCCCATCCCATGCAGATTCTTCTTCATAAAACTCCAGAGATATTATCAAAAGCTTTCTCCGCGTCAACAAATATCAATACTGCTTTGGTGTTTATATTCACTTCTAATTTTTCCAAAATATCAATTATATTCCTCAGGTTATCAGACAGATGTCTTCCCGGGAGAAAGCCCGCTTGGTCTTTATGAATCTCTTTCATCAATATTTTTTCAATCTCTTGGCCAAAATGTCTGCAAAAATTTTGTAATCCACATTAAGTAACGATATAGGGCGATAGTTCTTAAGCTGAGTCTTTTCAGTCTCTGTTTTCGGTATAAGTGTGATGTACGCCTCTTTCCACGATTCTGGTGCCCTTTTCCCCTCCAGTATTTCATTGCAGACTTCCTTCAAAGGTTGCAGTAACCACTCTTTCAAAGATCTATAGTATCTGGAAGTCAGCCCGTCCGGTCCTGGAGATTTGCCCAATTGCATATTTTGTATGGCACCTTCTACTTCCTGTTCAGATATTTTATAGTTCAGCATTAATTTACTTTCTTGAGAGATTTTTGTAGGCCATTTGTCTTCAAAAATTGGTCTATGTCCATTTCCTTCTGTGGCCCTTGTGTGTATAATTGTTTAAAGTACTTCTGGAAGCAATTTCTAATCTCATTTGGATTATGTATACTCTTTCCTTCCACTTCTAAATTTATAATAGTATTTAATTTTTGTCTTTTTTTCATTTGCCAGGCCAACAGTTTTCCACATTTATTAGCTGATTCAAATGTTTTTTGTCTCATTTGTTTGATTTTCCATTCTATTTCCTGATTCATCATTTCCATATATTGTACTTGATATAATTTTATTTCTCTCAAAATCTCCTGGGACTTTGGTTTTGCTCTCAATTTCTTCTCTCCTTCTTTTATTTTTTCCAAGATTTTATCTTTCTTTTCATTTTGACTTCTCTTCTTTATTGCATTCTGTTGTATCAAAAACCCTCTCATCACAGCTTTGCTTGCGTCCCAGATTACTCTTTTTTCTACATTGGTATTCATATTTATTTCAAAATAATCTCTCAAAGTCTTTTGGGCCTTTTTGTAAACTTCTTCATCTCTAAATAAGGTGTCATTCATCCTCCATCTGAAGGATCCGGTTGTTGTTTGTTTCATCTCCATCCTTACAGCATTATGGTCGGAACAAGTTTTTGGGCAGATTTCTACCTTCTTTATCTTTGGTGCCATTCCTCTAGTTATCCATATTTGGTCAATTCTAGTCCATGTCATCTTGGCTTCAGAAAAGGTTCCTTCTCTTCCCAGGGGGTTCTTTACCCTCCAGATGTCCACTAAGTCCATATTGTCTGTCATCTCAAAAAATGTTTTCGGTAGTCTACCATCCTTGGTGACTACCTGTCTTTGAGCCTTGTCCATATTTGTAGATACTACTCCATTCATGTCCCCCATCAGAATCAAATTATAGTCCAAATGATCCAATAAAGTCTCATGCAACTTTTTATAGAATTCAGATTTCCCTCGTTCGGTGCATAAATTCCCACGATTAAGAATTTCTCTCCTTGTAGTTGAATTTCAATTGCCAAAAATCTTCCTTGATCATCTTTAAAGATAAATTTCGGTAAAAGTCTCTCCTTTGCATAAATCACGACTCCTCTTTTTTAACTTTGTCAGATGAGACAAACTCCTGTCCTAATCTTTTATTAATCAATAACTTCCTATGTGCCCTTATTATATGTGTCTCTTGTAGACAAATCAAGTCCAATTGTTCTTTTTTAATAAATGAAACACACTTTTTCTTTTCGCGGAGAATTCAAACCGTTACAATTCCAGCTTAATAGTTGCAGAGCCATGGTGGGGGCTACTTCACTTTACCTCCAACTGCCCCAAGTGCCGCTTCTTGTTCTGTGGGTAGTATCACTTTTTCTGGACCGTGCAGTCCAAAAGATAAATTTGATATGTCTAGTATGCCTTTTGGTTCTTCTTCAGATTCCCCTTCTTTCAGTAGATCTTCCTCGTGGTCTTTCAAGAATCTGTCTTTTTCCTCAGTTGATTTTATTTTTATCTTTCTCCCTTTATATTTAAAGGACAGGCCTTGCGGAAATTCCCACCTGAAAAGAATTCTGTTTCTTTTCAATAAGGTCACTAGGTCTCCATAATTGGACCTTAAGTCCAGCAAATGCTTTGGGATGTCCTTAAAAATCACTAGACTTGAGTCATCAATTTCCAAAGTTTTTTTGATAGTGCAAATTCAGAATTTTATCTCTCTCTTCTTTTGTTCGAAAGGTAATCAAACAGTCTCTCACCTTGCCCTTGCCTTGTCTTCTTCCAAGCCTAAATGCATTCACTATCTTGAATTCTTCCTCCCCGGGTCCAATTGCCAAAAATCTGTAAATTCCTGTGTAAGAAAGTCAGCCAGATTATCTTTCTCCCGCTCTGGAACAGCCCTAATTCTCAGATTTCTCTGTCTATCTTTCAATTCAAACATGGAAAATGTCACATCATGGTCCTCCAATTTCTTATATACAGGTGGAATTTTCTCCTGAGTAGCAATTGCAATATCTTTTGCTTCCTGTGCAGTTTGTCGAATCAAGGCAGATTCCTGTAATAATTTTTCGATAGTCTCTGTGTTGGCATTCACCTTCT